GAAAGCATACTCAGGAAAGTTGGCTCAATAACTGAGTTATGAGTTGAAAACAGGTTTATTAGATCTTAAACAAAGATCAGACTTTTTTGGAAGTTCATAATGCTCAGCATGGTTACAATATTGGGATTGGAAAAATACAGGCTTTGAAAATAAGCTTAGAAGTTAAAACGGGTATATTGAAATATATGATCTTAAAGGGGGGAGGGGGGGGGGTATTAATCAATTACGCTACGGCACGTTAAGCCTCTCCAAAAATATATAAACGCATATATGTTTAGAGAAACATCTATAATAGGAAAATTCCATAAAAAAATATCTATAACATAAATTGTAGAGATCTAAAGTTGTTACACTCTTTAAGATTGTGTTTTAAGATTGTGTCTTATTCAAATATTTCTTAAAACAAAAAGCCTAGAGCATAACAAAACTTTATTTGTGTTCAAAAATTTGTAAAATATTTTTCTGACTTAGGATAACAAATTTGCGAACTTCCATAACAGAATATAATTGTAAATCGTTGGACCCATCTCATCTGTCGTAAAACCATAGTAAAGTCTAAAAATATCAAAAGTTTCTGTAGAGCGAATCTAGCTTTTGCCCATCGCTAACAATAATATGACATTGTGTCTATAGTGTGTTGTGAGCATGTCTAGATTTTTAAGATTTGACAAAATAAATTGATCCTCTCATAGGAATATTTTAAAGTATACGTACTTTACAGTCTAGTCAAGAAACACTAGATAGTGAAGTCTAAGTACTTTTAAATATGATTTTATCAAATGTTAGGTGTTAACACCAGTAAAGTATCATATTTTTACACTTTTTTATCGCATTCAAAGGAAAATTTTCAGATTGAAAATGATTCATCGGAAGAAAAATCACCAAAAGACTCTAGGCCAATGATGGTTTTGGTTTTTAAGATAAATACAGTGAAACCCTTTATAACGAGTACATCGGAAGACTTTATCAAATGTCGTCTTGACAATTTTTCAATGAGTTTTATACTTTATTACGTAAATTTTAGTATTTGCGAAAATAAATAAATAGCCATGAATATGCAGGAACAGTTTTAAAGAGTTCCATATAATCATTTAATTAAAAAACTAAATATCTGCAACATTCCATTATCAGAAAGTGAAGAATACGACATTTGATGAATTCTTTCGATGTATTCGTAATTAAGGGTTTCACTGTATGTAATTTCCATTTGGCTCCTACACGGCGCACCCTCCAGAAGGTCAAATTTATACTGCTGATTGTGACCTCTTAGCTCTTTTGTTTTTTTCTTTCTCAAGTTTAAGTTAGGAAATGTATTTTGGTTACATCAAAAAAAAATAAAACTTTGTTGCTCCTCTGAACAATTCTTCAAAAAATTTAATTCAAATAAATTATTAAAGTTAAAAATATAAAATTTCAAAATACTTAAATTTGAAGAGACTGTAATATTGTATAGATCCTGAGATACTTAAAATATGAATGTTTTTCTTCTAAATTATAATTATAATAAACCTGTAACCAAGTTTATGATACATGCAGTGCATTAATTATTAAGTAAAATTGGCTGGTTTACACCGCAAAATTGTTCTGCCGAAGCTCAATTGATCTAGTAATCTTACGCTTTGGTCTAAAGTCGTCTTCCTTTTCCGGAGTTTTCTGGTTATCACCGTGTATAGGGTAAAATTATGCTTTTTTGAAAGAGAAATAAATCTTGAATATATTCGTAAATTGCAAGTAAGATTAAATTATTTTTAAAGAACTATAGACAGCTACTAAAATGTTAAAAAAATTATAAAATTATCTCAAGTAGAGTTTTTTTTACAGTTTACATCTTTTAAACTGGAGTGTACTTTTTTTAATTTGAGCGTACTTTCTTTCATACTCTTTTAGCTGTTCATAATACGCGATATCATAGATTAATAACAATTACAGATAAAACACTAGATGTCGTCTTTTCAAGACATAGAGGGGTTTTTCGTTCACAATAAACCTGAAGCAGAGTTACGCGGATATTAAAACTCTGTCTTCTTATTCAACGGAGCATGCGCTTAACTCCTTTGGGCTTTTACCTCAGGGTTATTGTGAACGAAAAACCCCTAAATCTTGAAAAGACGATTTCGTGTGTTCTATCTGTATTGTTATTAGTCTATGTTTACTTTGAACTAAATGTTATTACTGCAGAAATGTTTTGACACGTGCAAAATTTTATTTAGGAATAACAACAGAAATACTTCACAAACCTTGAATATTTGAGAAAAAAAGGATGAATAAAGGAAACCGGATCTTGGGAATGTGCCAGTTTATTTCCACTGAATTTCTTTTATATAATGAGTATATTTTTTCTGGACATGCGAACTAATTGGTGTTAATTAAATTGAGTCTTCGTCACAAACTCTGAATTTGAAATCCATATACTGTACAACACGGAGTCGTATAGACCTTCGATATTTATATAAACTATGAATTCTGTTGAACTAAATAATATGATTCTGTAATACAGTCATAATCAGAAAGACTCGGAATTAATCTTTAATCGACTTTACAATCTAATTTTACAAATATGATTAATGAAACGATATAAACCTATTGTCCTGCTAATTCCAAACTGTGGTCTGCCTTTATTGTGCATTCAAAATTACGAGATATATATATGCAAAATCGTCTGATTAACTGTCAATTCTGGGATTTTTTTGGTTATGACAGTATGAAAGGTTTACAATATATCGGGTGAAAAAAATATATAAGGTTTCAACAATTTGAGTTTACGACAAACCTCAATTCCTTTAATCAGTTTGTTAACATTTTTAATATTAGAAATGTATAATCTTTTGAAATCTACATATCCTGGGCAACAGAAAAGAGAAATACATGGATCAACGCCTGCAGTTCAAAGAATGCTAGGACGCGATAATTGATAATTTCATAGCATGTATATAGATCAGAGATAAGATATAAGAGAGCAAAGAGATCTATTAAAGACTATTTATAGAATATGAGATATTTTTCGCTCAGGTTCCATTGTGTACAACTAGAGTACGTCCGTATTTATGAATATTTAACAATCCTTTGAATGCAAAATACTAAATCTTCAAATTTTAGCTTTAATGTTAAAAGTTAGAGCACATCTTTAAAATTTTTGAAACCTAACCCCTTGAATGGGTATTATATGCAACAAGCGACCGTTAGATGGCAGTCAAAGAAATTTCGTGGACATGTAGCAAGTCGTGCCGGTACAATTACAGCCTTGATTAACGTAGCCCGTGAGAGTTTATGAGCAGTCTGTGTATATCTAGTCTGTGGTTAGATATTTGAGCTTGATTAATGTAATCATCGTCGTATACGAAAGTCGTCTTTTCTGTGCGAAAAATTAAGGATTTAACTTGCGCTGATTGACAGCTTAGATAAATAAAAGTTCTATCCATTACAGCACATTTGGGAAGAAGTAAAAATATTAGATTGAAAGATAATTTAATCAAAAACTGAATTTTAATTTAAGTTGAAAAGATTAAGGACAACAAATATGTTGTTTTCAATTTCAGAGGTACATATTATTTGGAAGATATTTTTTCCATATTTTGAATGTTTTTTTAGTTTTTTAAGTTAACGATATCAAGCTTACTTCGGGGATATTGCAGTTAAAAGAGGAACGGAATTGGGGAAACATCTATTTTACTTTTGCTTTTAAAACTTTTAAGAATTTAAAAAGTATTTTCAGACATTTTTTATAGTATTAGATGGGGTAATAGCTGAATTATTCTTTAAAAATAATAAAATCTTGACTTCAATCAATCTTACTTTCTTCCTAACAAATATTTTTGAAAGTCTAATTTTTAATGATATATCCCCCCCCCGTCCGCAACAAAAACTAAATTTTATTCTTAAATTCTTTTTTTTTTCACATTTTAACCACAGTTCTTCTTTATACGTTGACAACTTAGTATATTATAAAACAAGAGTCATTTTAAACCTGAATGCGAATATAAACTTTAACAAAAAGTTTGTTTGAGCTGAAGGAAATGTTTGCGAAAAATGAACCGGGTTGTCTACTAAACCAAAAAAAAAACAAGTATTAATTGATTTTTTTTCCATAATTTTTTACTTACTTTACTTTCCATCCTCAATGTGTTTTTTTTGCTTTATAGCTTCAAAAGGCTAATTGATTGGCATTCAGGCTAATTTCAAGCAGTTTCACCAGATGGATAGGAAAGATTTATCTTCGCAGAAACATTAGATAGAAATAAAAATAAAGTCAATCTGTTCATTTTTCGTAAACACATTCTTTATGGTTTCTTTTAAACTTGACTTAAGAAAATAAGAAAATCTATGAGGAGCTATAGGGTTACCCACAAAGGATGAGACGATTTCGGATTAAATTCTTACACTTCCTTATTTCTTGTCAAATCAATAAAAACCCCTCAAGAAACCCGTTTTAAAGGCATAGACAATCAACTTCAGCCATGAACCCATCGTACCAAATGTTTTAATGGCCTTGAAATCTCATCCATTTTGGCTAACCATGTAAAATAATGCTTTTTAAGGTCTAAATAAGTTAAACTTTTTTCCAAATTAATTTTTCAGTTTTACGTTTTTTTTTTTTTTTTTTTTAGATATGTCATATATGATATTTTCTTTGACAGTTTATTATAGAGAAGTTTTAATATAATCTGCGCAGACGTATTAACCGACTGTTATATTCTCTCTCTATTCTCTTCCAAAAGGCTTTCTAATTTTCTGCTCACTATAACGAGAAATATTCTTTTAGTTCTTCATACCAAGAATTTACACTGTCTGTTTGTTCATATTTACAATTACATGAAACTTTTTCTTTTCCAGATCATAAACTACGCCATTAAAAGTCTATTTTTAAGGCAGAAAACTTATTTTATTTTATCTGAATATCGTCATTTTTCCGGGTCGTTTTTGCTGTCTCATTTTTTTTTGAGTAACCCTGTATCATTATAGATTTCCTTGGTTTCCTCAAACCTAAAATTTTGTAAATTTTCAGAATACAAGCAACTAAAATAAATACCAACAGTTAATTGAGAACATCTGATTTTCCTGGAATGACAAAACAAGAGAAAGGTTGTTGATTCAAAGCTGTTTATTCACTTAAAAAAGATAAGACATTATATGTTCAACGTAGCTGATTTAATAATTTTAATTGTTATCAAATGAATATTAAAAACCGATATATTTGACAAATCAAATTAACGATAAATTTTCAACTTTTTCCTTTCTTCCCTTTCTGAAGATAAACAATTGTTAATTAATGAACTTGAATCTGAATTTGACACCTATCCTCGCCACCTAACACCTATTGCATCAATAACAACGTGAAAAATACAAGTTAACAATAGTGTTTAAACCATTTAGTCACATTTTAACGTTCAATATATAAATCGTTAGTTTTTAATTGTTTTACAATGGGACTTTAAAAAGAATTACATGTCTCTAGCAAGAAATAATTTAAGTAAAGTTTTTTTTTCAAAAATGAATTTTGCCCATCAGAAATAGTTTGTTTTGAAAGCATTATGTAAAATAAAAGTTGCAATCTTCAGCAGTGAATGAAAGAAGTGCACTTTTGAAACAAAAAATGGGAAGAAATGCTCAGAAATCTGGTAAAATACATTTTTTGTTAAATTTTTGCTTTTATTAAAATTTTCAATTTATTTATCCTTTAAAGAAAATGGAAACACCAACCAAAAACGCTTGTTTTATTTTTAAATGTGTAATTTTCCAACATATAAAAGTATTACAAATTGAAAATATAAATATTCCAGAAAAATTTGTTGTGTTTGTTTTGTAAAATAATTAAAACACACAAAAATTTGCACTTTACACGTTCTAATATTTGGCGAAGATAAAAAGCGTTGTAAGACAAATTGTCCTATCAGTTATTTGACATTTAAGTCTCAGATGAGTTTAAGAAATACCTGCGAAGGTCTTTATATTAGAATTGTTATCTGCATGAAAATATATAAAACAAAGTATATCAAGAATTATCTCTCAGTCTCAACCTTTTAATATGACAACTCATATGAAGAATAATACAACTTTAGGTAAACCTTATAACCTAGAGAATTTAGTAAAAAGTAAAAAAACGAATGATTTATCTTTTGTATAAAATGTGAAACATGTATAGCTTTGATATTTTGTTTAAAGTGATATGAATGATTTGATTTTGTTGAGAGATCGTGTCCGAATTTAAAGAATTTGAGCGGCGGTTTAAATTTAAGCCTCGGCTTAAATATGGTTGGTTCCACTTAAAATTGTATCAAATGTTTCTAGATTTAAGCCTGCGCTTAATTTAAACCGGGTTTTGCCAGATTAAATTTCATTTCGGAAAATTTTAAAAGCAAATTTATGAACTGTTCTGTACTACGAAATGCATAACTTTTGATTAAATCAATGTTTTGTTTATATTTATTTTAAAGATATTAGTTTACCGTCTGAATAAACAAGGTTTTTTCTGAATAACATGACGCAACTTATAATTTATCAATTTTTAGATATTTTCCATGCAGGAAAATTCCAAAGTTTAAAATAAGCGTAATTTCACGGGACTCTCAAGTGCAGCCGTAGTACATTTGAATTTCCGAGCCGGGTCAACCTTTCCGGTCCCAGTTTGTACTGTATCGCCCGGACATTGGGTAACTAAAGCAGAAACTCAATAGGACTAGCCGGTGCAACAATGTTGACACGGTCAGACTTTAGGTTGAATTCACTTTTACTGAAGGTGCGTCCTCAACAAGAAAACAAGAAAATATGTCAACGCCTGATTGACAGCACTACCTATATACCTTTATCTGATCACTTATGTGGAAGATATCATCGTTTTTTTCTGATAATTTAATCTCAATACGTTTTCCAGCAGTAGAAATGCGCAAGTCACTTTTGTAGAGAAATCCCAATTTTCAAAATACACGCAGAAAATAGAAATTGTCATGCTCAACAGAAAAAATGGCTTAACCCTAGCCCGATTAGACTATTTTTGTATATAATTGAATAGGAGGTGGGGGAAGGGATGTTAACACCCCCCCCCTCAGGGGGATTGTACCCCGTCCCCCCCCCTCTATCGTGTCAGGTTTAAGTTAAAAAGAGAAGCGTATATGGTAATGATAACTCAAAAAATAATATGTATTAACAGCAAAATCTGTTTGCAAACGAAAAATAAAAGATTTCATTTAATCATTAGTCTAGAACCATTCCTTAGCCTCGATGTAAACCGGGCTACATATTCTTTTACATTAAATCTAAATTTAAAAATTTATTTTTTTAAACAAAGCAAAATATCATTACACAAAATATTTTTACTAGATAATATCCATCCCTGTTCATGCAGAGAGAATAATAACACAAATCAGCTGATAGAAGTATATATACACAGTTTCCCCGGTGCCTCGAATACGTATACACATTGTAAATTGTACATATTTAGTGAAATTTACTTTACTGCTGTACAATTATAAATGTACAGTATATAAATAACTTATGATTTAACAATTATTTTTAATTTAAGAGCAAAACAGCTAAAAAGCTAGTAGCGCCCGATCGATAGTAGAGAAAGGTAGTATAGAAAAGAGGATATATATATACATATTGTAAATACAACATGATAGTAGAGAGAAGAAGATAGAGGTAGAGAGAGAGAGAGAAACACTATTTTATGGGAGTTTTCACTAAAATCCACTTTTTCAGTAATACTCTACGGAAGCATCCATACGTCCATACTCCATGGTTTTATCGCATATGGAGCCATACCTTTTGAAAAAACGTATTTCATCATTAACAAATGTTAAACATGTTTAAGGGCAAACGTATACGTGTATAAACGCTTCAAATGCTGCTCTTAATTTTTAAGTTTTTTTGTATGTTTCAAACTGTGACTTAAAACTTTTATCCCTTGCATATGGAATTGAGTCTCTCACAAACTACAATATTCTAATTTCTAATTTTCTAATATCAAAGGTTCACACTGAATCGTGTTGCAAAGGTATCTTTAAGTACGCAAAATTTACGAACCTGCAATGTACAAATGTTTGCAAAAAATTGAAATTTGATTTTTACAGATGAGAAGAGAGGAGGAGAGGAGGGGTCCTTCGCCCCTAGAAAGGACTCATTCGAAGACGGTCAAAATAAAGGTAATTTAACCCTTGACGATATATAGTATTTTTATTTTTTAAATGAAATTAAAAATAAAAGTAACTACACTTTTCGATAAGAAAGGTCGATTAAAAAAAATATTTAAATCTTGCAATTGCAGAATATTCTATTTTTGAAAATATGACAAATTATATTTTGAAAATTTCTTTAATGCTTGATTTTAAAAAATAAAAAGACTTTATATTAAGAATTTATTCATTGCATATTGTGTAAAAAGTGCCAGATTTCTTTGCGAAGTTTTTGATTATTTTATCAAAAAACGTGGCTTTTGTAAAAGCAATTAATGTTATAAAAAATACAATATAAGAAAATGGGTCTAAAATCCAATATTAGAAAATGGGTCTAAAAAGAAAATAAAAATGAGCCTTTTCAACCCAATGTTGTACACCATAGATATTTCCGATTATGAACCCTGTTAGATCAAATAACATTATTTAGAAATATGAAAGTTTTACACCATCAGATTGCAAAGATATAAGTATAAAAAATTAGAGTTTGTGGCAAATACTCAATTATTTCAATGAAGGTATCTGAGGTTTAGTTTGTGAAATAAGGAGCAGAAGTTTTTTCATGAAATATAGCTATTGCTATTGGATTTTATTTAACATATGTATTGTAAAACTATTTCAGTATCCATTTCATCAAAGAATATAACTTGATTAAAGTTTACAATAAATATAGTCGTTATTCAAGCTTAATTACATGGTTCTGCAATTTCCTTGACTGTAATCATGTTGTGTGTCAGTACCAAAACAGTGTGTGTAAAGATTACCGTACTGGTCTGCAAAGCAGTGCGACTGGCTTTCTCATGCCAGACCAGCGCCATGTCCTTTCCTTTTGTTCCTATTCCCTGATCTCGCATTCCCGTAAAGATAAACAAGTTCAAGAACTGTGCGTATTTGATCTCACATTTCAAAAGAATGTGACGCAATTAAAAAGCATATTTTCATATGATGTAAAAGCTTAAAATTTCTCTTTACTTTTGACGTAAAATAGAAAATGCTTCATGGCGTAACTTTTTGTCCCCTTTCAAGTTTTAGGTGCGCATGTGCATTTTACACATTTATAGAATTTTTAAAATTAACAAATTCTGGCTTTATTGAACTAAGCAGAGATGGTTTTGAAATGTACTTAAAGAAACAATTTTGAAAGGAAAAAACATATTTTCAGGAAGATTTGGCTCCTGCAGTATGGATACTTGTGGAAACAAGACTCTGAAATATCTTAAGAAGAGATTACCTTTCCTGTCCTGGATCACTCAATATAAGGCCCTCGATGTGAGTAGATAGATAGATAGATAGATAGATAGATAGATAGATAGATAGATAGATAGATATATAGATAGATAGATAGATAGATAGATAGATATATAGATAAATAGATAAATAGAAAGAAAGATAGATAAGTTGGTTGACAGAAAGATAGATATATAGATATATAAATAGATAAATCTGATAGATAGGTAAATAGTTAAGGAGAGAAAATATGGTGTAAAAACTTTTAAAAATGTACATAACGCATCGAAACAGGTTTAGAACTAGTTGTCTTATGTGCAAACAACATTTAGTAAACAATTAATGATAAAACTCGGCCCTCCTGTATGCTTAGAATTGCAAAATCTAGGTTAAAATCTTTGTTGCTGTTTACAATTAAGCTAGTTTTGATCTAGCTAACGGGCAGCCGTAGAACATTTGAATTTCCAAGCCGGGTCAACCTTTCTAGTCCCAGTTTGTACTGTATCGCCCGGACATTGGGTAAATAAAGCAGACACTCAATAGGACTAACCGGTGCAGACGTGGTCAGACATTATGTTGAATTTACTTTAATAAAGGGTCAGGGGTGCGTGAGCTGTCAAAATAGATAGATAGTTAGAATAATTTTTTTTAAATTTTAAATTTCTAATACAATGCATTTTTTTAGTTAATTTCTGATTGCATTGCTGGGATTACAGTTGGATTAACAGTTATACCACAGGTCAATAATATAATGATAATAATAATAATAATAATGATACTAATAATTATGATGATAATAATTCTAATAATAACACTACTACTACTAATAATAATAATCAAATGACCCATCAGTACCAACAAAGGTGTTTTTAATTGGTATAGCATAGGGGCTCAATTACCAAGTTGTCATTATTGTGTTTTGATCATTATATTTTCAGGGTATAGCCTATGCTGCAGTGGCTGGGTTGGAAGCCCAGTATGGATTATACTCGGCCTTCATGGGATGTTTTGTTTATTGTATCTTTGGAACATCCAAGGACATTACCATCGGACCTACCGCCATTATGGCACTTATGACTGCGGTACGAAATATCTATTATATCGTTGGGTATTATTAAGTGCGAACATTTTTTTGCCGGGATTTTTATTTTTTCTAGTTTGTTTAAGATAAAAATGAAAGTATTGTCACACCGAACGTAGTGAGGTGTAAAGATACTTTTATTTTGATCGAAAACAAACTAGAATAATTAAAAATCACAGTAAAAACTTTTTTGCACGCATGATACCCATTGCAATAACATATATAGTTTTATTCAGTTTTACACAAATTATTTATAATTATGTCGATAAAGTTACTTAATCACCCTGTTGTAGGGTGACGAAGTAACTTTATCACCCTACAATGAGACAAATTAAGCATAAAATTTGAAATTTTAATAGCAGGGTGAAAATTAAATTAAGTATTTTAACTTCAAAACACGTATTATAAAGGTTTTTGAGCCATTTAAAAATAATAATCAACAGTGCATGGAACGCGCATAAAACTTTGCAATGTGAAGCCGACTGTTAGACTCAAGTTATTATGTTTAATGACTATGAAACCAATTGTGCAGTGTAAACAGACCAATTTCAAATAATATGCGCTTATTTTCAAGCTACGGGCTAAAGCAATTTTAAAACAACGTGAAATGACAGAAAGTTTGACAAATAATGAGCGCATAAGCTCAAATACAATTTTTTCATGAAACCTTTTCTTATTCAGACGCATGCGCAGTACGGACCCGATTATGCTGTTCTACTCGCTTTTCTTTCTGGAATAATTATTCTTGCTTGTGGGCTTCTGCAGTTAGGTAACCGGAGGCAGAATTTAAAGATTTTGAGCCGCCGCTTAAATTTAAGTTGCGGCATAAATATGATTGGTTCCACTTAAAATCGTATTCAATGTTTCAATATTTCAGCCGGCGCTCAATTGAAACCGGTTTTTACAGGAGGATTTAAGACGCGGATCAAATTTATTAAATTCGAACTCTGATACTTCTATGGTAGTTAAGCACTGTTTAACGAGTGTTTTCATAATTAGACAAACCGTTTGATGGAGTACTTGCGGACCCACTTATTCGTTATATAGTTTGATTGAGTACTTGCGGACCCGCTTATTCGTTATATTATAGTTTGGTGCGGACCCACTTATTCGTTATATAGATTGGTAAAAACAATCTTTTTACAACAAACTAACCTGAGCTGAATTTTTAGAATGGTGGATATCGAGATTAATGCTTGATCTCTTCTTTTTCTTAATCTCCGGATTAAATAATGCTTGTTCTCCTCTTTTTATTAATCTCCAGATTAATTAACCGATCGGGATTAAGGATATCCCATTCTAAAGTTTTCAGCTCTGATAGGGTAGGTCAAATTGGCCCATGATAGGCCGAGTACTGTAAAAAGTCTGGCCGCGTCATCAAAGTTGAAACCTAGCTGGTGTACAAGGGGTCGGTCCTGTTCTAATTCAAATGTACCCTGGTCCTCCGCGTTTTGCTAAAGGAATTGAGTCTTTGCCACAAACTCTGATTTTCAAATCCCAATATCTTTTTGACCCAATGTAGATCCTAGATATTTCAAACTATAAATTCTCTTACATTAAATTATCAAAGTTTGAAATACCAAAGGCTTATGCCAATATTTTGCAAAGATATGGGATTAGAAAATTCGAGTTTGTGGTAAAGACTCAATTCCTTTTATTCTGAAGTCGAGCCTCTAGAAAGCCAAAACCCTGCAATGACTGAAATCATTAAAACTGTATCACCATAGTTTCAGTAGAAGTAACTATTAATCCATTTACTGATAACGCCGATATTAAAGGATTCATATATCTAATTGGATAATGAGATACTTCTAATGGTTCAGAATAGACAACAAACACCTGACTGAACCCTGATTGGATCAGGCGCTAATGGACTCGGCATATATTGCCCTCTCCACTAAACCCCACTATATTTCTTCGGTCAGAGTAATGCAAATCACTGCAGTCTACAACGACAGCTTAGTTAAGCGTGATATAGTTGTAAACTCCGTTTTATGTTTTTGTATGTCCGATTATAACTCATGGGAACTATTTGACCGATTTGCCACCACTTTTAAAGGGAAAAAATGGGAAAAATTACAACCAAGAGCGGGTACATGGCGGGAGTACCTTGAATACCCTGGGCAACACTGGGTTCACAACCTAGTCTTTAATAAGTTTTTAAAAAAATGTTTAGGTTTTTTGATTGATTTTATCTCTGTACCTGTGATAGCTGGGTTCACCAGCGCAGCTGCTATAACTATCGCTACCGGGCAGGTCAAAGCCTTGCTCGGAATTAAAATAGGTAATTGTTTATTAAGGGGCTGTCAGCGATGTTTGAAATGATTCTTTAATCAAAAGCGTCATCAAGACTCCCAATCGGGCTTAGAGGGGAGCTAGGGAGCATTTCTTCAGAAACCCTGATCCGCAGATTGTCCACTGTGAAAATAAATAGCAAATTGTCATTTAAACTGCAAGTTAGCCATAAAATCTTAAATCTTGAAAATAATATTGAAGAGCTAGTGAGAAGAAGAAAAATGTTTTGATTTTCTAAAAATGTTTTGATTTTCTAAAAATGTAACCGAATAAAGGAATTAAGTCTTTGTCACAGACTCGAATTTTTTGTTACACCTATATCTTTGCAGCTTGATGGTAAAACCATTGATATTTCAAACTTTTATACTATTGTTGTAACTGTACTACATGTTGTAACTGTACTACATGTTGTAACTGTACTGCATGTTGTAACTGTACTACATGTTGTAACTGTACTGCATGTTGTAACTGTACTACATGTTGTAACTGTACTACATGTTGTAACTGTACTGCATGTTTACATTTTTTTACTTTTTAGATAGTCACCACAAATCCCACACTCACCTGGGTATAGTGGATCCTTGGATCGATGTGTTTACGAATATAGAAACAACCAGGAAACTTTGAAATTGAAAATATAAAACTATTAAAACTTAGAGAGACCCATTGAACCCTTTCTTTCTATAGTTGTTTAACAATATGCAAGGTGTCCCTCGAAACATGACAGTTTGTGAATAGTTTAAAATGTCTTCTTCCATAATATTTCAAGTTGTTTATGGCATCCATATTATAGTAAAATTGATATCTAAGTAAAATATATTAGAGTAAAGTTTTTTTTTAAACTAAATAAACTGCAAAAAGTCTTCAATATCTAATACAGTATGGAAGAAGACATTCAAAACTATTCACCAACTGTCATGTTTCGTGGGACACACTGTACATCCAAAACTAACCATGGTAAGATGCAAACGGTTTCTTCAATGTGAATTCAATTAAGTTTTGGTCTATATTCTACAATTTCTGAATTTACGGAGTTTTTTCAAATAATTATGTTTAGTAGGTCCAATTGTTGTCAATTCACAGCCTAATTGGAAAAGGGCCGAACTGTTAAATTCGCGTTATATTATTCGAATTTATTTGAATTTTGAAATTTTATTTGGAAAAATTATAAATTTTGTGGTTTCTCAGATACCAGGACGCGATTCTTGGAATAGTGTGCGCCATTGTTCTTCTCTCTCTCAGGGTAAGTTGAGCAATTCTTTGAATCTTAAAGTCGTTGTCGTATATATCAATACAAAGAAAACGGACATCTTGGATCAGAACCTCTGATATTAAATATTAGTATTTAGTCTTTGAACCGGACATCATGGTTTAAAACCTCTGATATTAAATATTATTATTTAGTCTTTGAACCGGACATCTTGGTTTAAAACCTCTGATATTAAATATTAGTATTTAGTCTTTGAACCGGATATCATGGTTTAAAACCTCTGATATTAAATATTATTATTTAGTCTTTGAACCGGATATCTTGGTTTAAAACCTCTGATTTTAAATATTATTATTTAGTCTTTGAACCGGACATCTTGGTTTAAAACCTCTGATATTAAATATTATTATTTATTCTTTGAACCGGACATCATGGTTTAAAACCTCTGATATTAAATATTATTATTTAGTCTTTGAACCGGACATCTTGGTTTAAAACCTCTGATATTAAATATTATTATTTAGTATTTGAACCGGACATCTTGGTTTAAAACCTCTGATAATCCCAACCCAGGCCTGCAAACTCTCTTCAACAAATTACCAATAAATGTTCAGGTAAACACACCGTTCCATCCTGGAAAAGAGACTGTTCCTGGGTTTACAGATTGCACAATTAGAACTTTAACGGTTCTAGCTGTAGGCCCGACTCATTAACCCTTTCAGTTTTTCCTTCAAAACTTACATCAGTTAAAAAAGAAATGCTTTTGGGTTTAGGTTCAATAAGCAATATCTTTCCTTTCCCCTGATTAATTTTCAAACCACTTGGAAAAATGATAAAGCGCTATCTTAATCTTAATCTCTTTGTTTATTTCTAGCATATTGTCAGCAAGGGGGTCTGGTTCCTCTGTACTGCCAGGTAAAATTGGATTTATTATTATTATTATTATTATTACTTTTATTATTATTATTATTATTATTATTTTTATTATTATTATTATTATTATTATTATTATTATTATTATTATTATTATTATTATTATTATTATTATTATTATTATTATTATTATTATTATTATTATTATTATTATTATTATTATTATTATTATTATTATTATTATTATTATTATTATTATTATTATTATTATTATTATTATTATTATTATTATTATTATTATTATTATTATTATTATTATTATTATTATTATTATTATTATTATTATTATTATTATTATTATTATTATTATTATTATTATTATTATTATTATTATTATTATTATTATTATTATTATTATTATTATTATTATTATTATTATTATTATTATTATTATTATTATTATTATTATTATTNAATGAAACCTGTATCTGGACAATTACCGGAAATATATTCCTTATATTCAGGAAGTAGAAGTAAATAAAATTTGTATCTTGACAATTACCGGAAATATATTCCATATATTCAGGAAGTAGAAGTAAATGAAACCTGTATCTGGACTATTACCGGAAATATACAGAGCGGACTTCCCCCCTTTACTCCTCCTCCATTCAGCACTGTAGAAAGTAAGTTGTATCCTCTCACTGAGAAGGGACTATATGTTTGTTTTTTGTGACTCCCCATTAAAAATGTAAAAAGACGAAAGATTTAAAACCTTTGACTGATGTCGTAAATATCCAAAACATAGGAATTTTTACTTTTGATTGTTTTTTAAAACCGACCTTATAATATTTATAAAATTATCTCTTTTATTATATTAAATCAGATGAAGATGTTAAAATATTTAATGAAACTCTTGATATTACGTAAAATGTCGATTTTAAGCTTTGTTAAAACAAACAAATGTTACACAATTTAGTATTTAAAAAACTTAAATTTTCTCTATTTTCAGATAATTCTACAATCCCTTTTATGGAAATGACAAAAACTCTTGGCTCTGCAATCATTGTAATTCCTCTTATTGCAATCCTGGAGAGTGTGGCAATTGCCAAAGCTTTTGGTAAACATTTTATATCAACTATTTATAATTCCTTTTCATATTCATTTCTCTTATATGTCTGTGTCTGTCTGTTTGTTTGCAACCGATAAACGTCAAAACGGCTCAACCAGCCAGGTCCCAGTTTTTTAGTGGAAATATTCATGGCTCAATGGAAGGTCAATGGATGCTCAGAGTTGCAAAATTTTGCCTGAAAAAATAACTTTTTTCCATCAATGGAAAGAAAAAAAAATCAGCGAAATTTGTGTTCTTTCAAGAGTACGATGAAAAATGGCGACTGAGAAGCAACAGTTAAAGGCTAAAACTATATATTTACATTATAAAATACATATAAATATTTGATAGGACAATATGAAGTTCTTAATCTTAATATTTGTCAAAACATGGAAACTAAATATTTGCTTAACCTTTTAAAACAATATTCATCTGGTCGTAAAATAAAAAAATTTATTTTTGTGAAATATTAAAAATAAACCCCCCCCCCCCCCAGCAGAAAAACCTTGTATCTCTGTTACTTTTGATGCACTTTATTGTAAACAAATTGACTTTTGATGTTTTGAATTATAAAAATGGAAATTGTTTCATAGATAACGTTACAACTTTTTATCTTATTTGTGTCAAAGTAATTCATTCGTAATTAATAATTCATCGAAATTTTGTATTCAACTTTTTTTCACTAAAATTTATTATGCAATTTTCGTACAACCGAATGTTTACAATTATAGAACAGAACGTTTTTTAATGGCAAAGCATTTCATTTCAACTTTCAATTCTTAAAATGGGGTTTTATTTCTCACTCATTTTCCACTTAAGAGATTTTTCAGGTTTCTATTATATAATTATATTCTAGCTGGTGGTAAACCTGTAGATGCTAGCCAGGAGATGGTCTACGTTTCTATAATATAATTGTATTCTAGCTGGTGGTAAACCTGTAGATGCTAGCCAGGAGATGGTCTAGGTTTCTATAATATAATTGTATTCAAGCTGGTGGTAAACCTGTAGATGCTAGCCAGGAGAAGGTCTAGGTTTCTATAATATAATTATATTCTAGCTGGCGGTAAACCTGTAGATGCTAGCCAGGAGATGGTTGCCCTTGGATTTTGTAATATCTTTGGATCTTTTGTCCGATCTATGCCCACCACAGGATCTTTCAGGTAAACATTTAGGGCGCTTCTTAACCATGGTTTACTAGTGTTTGCTGTTATGGGTTTGTAACAGCACTAAGTTGGGATTTTATTGAAGGAGGAAGAAGAAGTGCTGGTGCAACTAGTTGATCCTAGATTAAATATTTCTCTTTTTTTCTATTAATATTCCAATTGGCTTGCAATGGGGGGGGGGGGAGAGCTGCAACTAGGATGGGCTAGGAGGCCGAGCGCTGCAGCTATGGGGTCGATCATTGCGGCTACCGACAGACTTGGGAAATTGCACCTTTGGGAAAGTGCCTAAAATCTTCCTATTATTATTATTATATAATTTTTTACATTTACTTAACTTTTATGTTAATCTGTTAATAAATAGCATGTTTTATATCTGATCCTTGTTTAGTCGAACTGCTGTAAACGCTGCTAGCGGAGTGAAAAGTCCCTTATCTGGGTTGTTTACTGGAGGCCTTGTCATCCTTTGCCTTGGAGTTCTCATCCCATACTGTGCTTTCATCCCGAAGGTACATTTTCATCCTTAAGATACTGTTTTATTCCTTTATTACTTTTTCATCCTCATAAGGTACTTTTTCATCCTCGTGAAACGTTTTCATCCTCAAGATACTTTTTCATCCTCATGATACTTTTTTCACTTAAAAGATACTTTATCATTTATAAGATACTTTATCATTTATAAGATACTTTATCATTTATAAGATACTTTATCATCATTAAGAAACATTTTCATACTGTCCTTTCATCCCTTTATGTAATTTTTCATTTCTAAAGTACTTTTTCATCCCTAAGGTACTTTTTTCATCCGATATTGTTCTTTTATCCAATTTAAAGATACGTGTTCATCCACATGGAACTTTTTTATCCTTTTCTGTGCTTTCTTCCTAAGGTTTAATTTTATTCCATATGCTAAAACTTTATTCCATATACTGCAATTTCATTTTTAATTCTAATGATTTTTTCCTGTGATTTTTTTTTCAGTTTTTAGTTTTTAAACGGATGCATTGACTCATCATAGAAGTAGATATTCCATGTTTTTTATTCTAAAATTTAGGCCACCCTTGCTGCTGTTATCATTACTGCTGTCATTTTCAGTGTGGAATATCATCTTGTAATGCCGATGTGGAGAAGTAAAAGTAAGTATTTTTCAACCCAATACGGTGTACAGTGTACAGATTTTGCAACTCAATACGGTGTACAGTGTACAGATTTTGCAACCCAATACGGTGTACAGTGTACAGATTTTGCAACCCTATACGGTGTACAGTGTACAGATTGCTACAATATAACTTGTATAACTTGGAGTTAATGTATATAGAGTTAAGATTAAACATGTTCAGATAGATTCGATTACAATAACATAACTTGTATATGGCCGGAGTTACATTTGAGCATGTACAGAGAGTTATCTATGAGTAAACATGAATAGAGAGTTATGATTAAACATGTACAGAGAGTTGCGATTAAATATGTACAAAGATTTACAATTGAACATGTACAGATCGAGTTATGATTAAATATGTACAAAGATTTACGATTGAACATGTACAGAGAGTTGCGATTAAATATGTACAAAGATTTACGATTGAACATGTACAGATCGAGTTACGATTAAACATGTACAAAAGTTGCGATTAAATATGTACAAAGATTTACGATTGAACATGTACAGGTCGAGTTACGATTAAACACGTACAGAGATTTAAGATTAATCTAACTTAGCGAGGAGTTTGCAAATAAACATGTCATAGTAAAGTTACAGGAAACATGTACAGGTGTTGCAAAAGATGTAAAAGATAGTCACAATGTAACTTAAATATTTAGATAAAGAGAGGTAAAATAAAACAATGTGGATTGTGCATTATCCAAAAAGAAAATACCAGTTTGTTTTAAAATTGATAAACTTTGTCTACTCAAGACAATATAATTTTTTATCTTTTTTTAGAAATTGATCTTCTACCTGCTTTCGTCTGCTTCTTTGTGTGTGTACTCTATGAACTTGAGTTTGGAATCCTTGCTGGCGTAGTTGTACAGGTACAAGTCAGGCATGCCGCGTCCAAGGATGTATGCAAGGAAAGTTATTTCAGAAGTGGACACATCTTTTGTACTGCAGTGTACTGTCTCTGGGCGCTAATGTAAACAAAAGACGGATGTCGAAGCCTGACATGGAATCCATCTTTCACGTAAAAAATCAATGAAATATTCTGGTCTTCTGGTATTATGTGAATTATCAAAATTATCAAAATTTAATGCTTTAACCTCCTCAGATACTAAACGAACACTGATGCATCTATTCTTGTTTACAAATTCCGCCCAAAGAGAACTGGTTTCAATATGTACGCAGACGCGTATACGCGACAGCAATTAACTTTACATGCATTACAATCTTGGCCGCGCCAATCTAAATTTTATTGTTCTGACCCGGCAGTATCTCCATTCTGTACTCCAGTTTTCAAGCTTTATGATCGCAAACCGCAATATCAGAAAAATTTCAAATTAATTAATAGATGCTTTACCTTTGATTGTTTAGATACTTTTCCTTTAATTATTTAGATGCTTTACCTTTAATTGTTTAGTTACTTGATCTTTAATTTATAGATGCTATTACCTTTAATTGTTTAGATGCTATTACCTTTAATGGTTTAGTTGCTATAACCTTTAATGGTTTAGTTGCTATAACCTTTAATGGTTTAGTTGCTATAACCTTTAATTGTTTTAGTTGCTATAACCTATAATGGTTTATTTGATATTACCTTTAATAGTTTAGTTGCTATAACCTTTAATCGCTTAGATGCTTTTACCTTAATGGTTTAGTTTCTATTACCTTTAATTATTTAGATGTTTTTAACCTTTAATGGTTTAGTTGCTATTACCTATAATTGTTTAGATGCTTTGACGTTTAATGGCTTAGTTGCTATTACCTTTAATCGCTTAGATGCTTTTACCTTAATGGTTTAGTTGCTTTAACCTTTAATTGTTTAGATGATATTACCTTTAATGGTTAGTTGCTATTACCTTTAATGGTTTAGTTGCTATTACCTTTAATGGTTTAATTGCTATTACCTTTAATGGTTTAGTTGCTATTACCTTTAATGGTTTAGTTGCTTTAACCTTTCATTGTTTAGATGCTATTACCTTTAATGGTTAGTTGCTATTACCTTTAATGGTTTAGTTGCTATTACCTTTAATGGTTTAGTTTTATTGTTTAGATGCTGTTACCTTTTATTGTTTAGATGCTATTACCTTTCATGGTTTAGATGCTATTACCTTTAATGGTTTAGATGCTATTACATTTAATGGTTTAGTTGCTATTACCTTTTATTGTTTAGTTGCTATAACCTTTAATTGTTTAGATGCTCTTCCTAATTTACGCTGCTGCAAGACCAAAGATTGCTGTCAACATGAGAAAGGTAAAAAACGACTTAAGAAAAACTTAAACTAAAATAATTTAAACTGTCTAAATCAATATCATAAAGAATGTTAAAATATTTTCCTGATCAGGGGGTTATATATTTAGATCAAGGGGTTATATATTTAGATCAACGGATTATATATTTAGATCAATGGATTACATTTAGATCAAGGGATTATATATTTATATCAAGGAATTATATTTAGATCAAGGGATTTTATATTTAGATCAAGGAATTATATATTTAGATCAAGGGATTATATTTAAATCAATGGATTGTATATTCATAGATCAAGGGATTATATTTAGATCAAGGGATTATATATTGATATCAAGGGATCATATTTAGAACAAGGGATTTTATATTTAGATCAAGGAATTATATATTTAGATCAAGGGATTACATTTAGAGCAAGGGATTGTATATTTAGATCGAGGGAATATATATTTAGATCAAGAGATAATATATTTAAAGATCACGGGAACATGTATTTAGAGCAAGGAATTAGGACTATATGTTTAGATCAAGGGATAGTATTTAGATGAAGGGATTGTAAATTCATAGATCAAGGGAATATGTATTTAGATCAAGGGATTATACAAATAGACAAGGGATTATATAATGGATTATTTATAAGTGAAGGGATTGTATATTTAGATTGGGGGAGTGGATCAGGAATATTTGTATATATGTCTTGATCAAGTGATTATATAAATAAAGGGATTGTATATTTAGACCAAGGGTTTATATGTTTAGATTGAGGGAGTGGATCAGGAATATCCGTATATCTGTCCTGATTAGGGGATTATATAAAGGGATTATATATTTAGATTGAGGGAGTGGATCAAGAATATCTGTATATATGTCCTGATCAGGGGATTATATTCCCATCTGTGACCTATGTCAGGAACCTGATAAACAAGGCAGCTCTGAAACAGGTATTAAAATGCCCAAGATAGGAATTATATAGGACATCCCACAAACAACTTTGTTGTAACAGTATACTCCTACTGCAAAATTTGTTTGGGACACCCTGTATAATTATGATTTATGTAAACAAATCACAGAGTTGACATGTGTCAGAAAATATGTGATTAAAATATTCTCGCAAATACCGTCATTTAAGTTTTATTTTCGCACATTGCAAAACTGTGCATTCCGTTGAAGGGACTTTCAAGAGACCCTCTATTCCAAGGTTATAATGCAAGGAAATTAATTCAGAGGTGTACGTATCTTTTGTACTGCAGTGTATTGTCTCTGATCGGTAATTTAAACACAAGACGGATGTCGAAGCCTGGCATGGGATCCATCTTTCAGATAAAAAATCAATGAAATATTCTGGTCATAGGAAACTATTATATGAATTATCAAAATTATCAAAATTTAATGCTTTTAACCTCCTCGGATACTTGACGAACACTGATGCATCTATTGTTTACAAATTCCGCCCAGAGAGAACTGGTTTCAAACTGTACGCAGAGTATACGTAACTTTCCTTGCGTTATAACTTTGCTCTATTCTATATTAAGAAGCATGCCAAATTCACATTGTCTGATCAAGAATAAATGAGAAATTCACCTAGCTCTATACGTAAACAGGTTTCTTTTTAATTTTGGTTTTTAAACTGTATCTTCCACAGTACATACTATCTTATTGATATCTTTTAATGGAGATCATTTAGAATTATGCCTACAGTCCCTTTAATAGAAATATGTTATTGTCAGGCTGGTCCCGAAATACCTGTTGTTATTGACTGCAGCAAAATAAATAACGTTGATTTCACGGCAGCAGAAGGATTTCATGCAATGATAGCGGATATGGGCAAGAGGTAAAATATATCTACCTGGCTCAAGTGCCTGGCCTTGCCCGTGGAATTTTAAGAACACTTGAAATAAAAATTTGAAGTTTAAAAGAAAAGAAAATTTTGAATTTTGAAAAAAACCATGAGTTCCCTAAAAAAATGTTTAGCAAAGAGCTTTATTATTGGGGAGGAAAATGAAAAAACGGCTCTCAGCTTGCAAACCCCCCCCCCTCATCTTTTTTATTCATTTAAACGAAATTTTTTATCAGTTTGCTTACTTTTTTTAGTTTAAAAAATTATGAAAAATACTATTTTTTTGTTTGCTTAGAAATACTGAAATCTATTGGCTCAATCCATCTCCTAGTGCTGCCCATACCCTACGAGTTATCGCCAAGGATCATTTCAGGTAATTACATATTTTTAATCGACTATAACTGTCTAAGATTTTGTGGGAAAAAAACTGATTTTTGTTTTCATTATTAATGCAGACATTAATAATTGTTGTGGAGTTTTTAATAAGCAACAAATGCTCTTTTAAACCGGATTTTAACAATTTTATATATTTAAATAATCTTGAGGCTCTCAGCATACTTTTAGTGTTTGATTACAAACTACAAAGTTTGTGACATTTATACTGAAATATGCTGAAAAGGTCAAGAACAAGTTGAAATAGTTTAAACTTTTATCTTTTAAACATTTCTTTTTCGGTCTCTTAAACAAACAACAAATACTATAATCAGTCATTTTATTGGAATTATTATATTTAACATTCTAATGGTATTGTTTCAAGTAAATAGATTATCAAGTACATTAGGGGGCATCAGAGAAATGAACCAATTATACACGACGTCATAAGTGTCAAATATAACAAGAAAAACGAAATTTTCTCCCATTAGTTGACAAGATTTCCAAGATTAAATAAAAAAGTGTACACACAGAAAACAAACAAGACACTTAATCCCAATTATTTTACTGTAAGATAAGCACTTTATTATAAAACTATCACTATTATTAATAATTTTGTCGGACACAAAAACTGAATTGACACTTGTGACGTCAGCATACAGCTTTACTAAGAGTGTACAAATTTTACGTTGCAATCTATTGTACTAGAATCTATTTGGTTTTAAGGAATGAATCATTAAATATGTACTTTAGGGTGATCTATAAAGAGAGTGAATTGATCGATGAGACTCGATCCCAAACCATTACTCCAGGTCTACCTTCCTTCTCACCTTTAGTAGATGAAGAGATGGGTCCAGATACTAATGGACTTTAAAAGATCTCATAACAATAACCTGAAAACACGCTGACATCACGCTAACTTTGGCAGATTTTCTGGAGACCTCCTATAGCAAGGAGAACTCCTTCAGATATATAACAAACCTCATGCAAAACTACTTCGCAAATTTTGAAAAGCTCCTTAGGAGGGAGCAAGAAGATTCAAGTCAGACCTCCTGAAGACCTCCTGAAGACCCCCTGAGGACCTCCTGAAGACCTCCTGAGGGCCTCCTTCAGAGTTCAGGCATATCTGTCAGGATTCATAATAAGTACTCATTATTACATCCAGATATTATTTGTTACGTACATAAATGTTGTATTACAGATGTATTTTTAAATATCTAGGAAACCATTTTAAGTTTTACTTTTTTTTCAATCCACGACTTTACACCTAAAAAAAGTGTCAAAATGCCCAATTAAATGATTTTCGACGAGATCGTGGCAAACAAATGCATTTTGAAAGCATTTTTGAGTGAACAAAATGGCGCTTTAATAATTATAAAATATTTACTTGTTTTAGTGTATTGACAGAAATAATAATGATTAGATATAAGCATAATACGTAATTTAGAGCGATTATTATTTTTTTCGAAAAAATATTAACGATCACAGAAATATTCTAAACACGAATTAAGTGTTGAAAATTTTCAAATTGTTAAATTTTACCTTATTAAGTTTACCTAACCCTGGTAGTTAGATCAAGTTTTAGTTACTTTATTTATATACATATTATATATGCATATATTATAATATAAATATATTTTTATTTTATTTTTTTGTTTTTTTATCATTTTTACCTCATTTTGATATATAACTAATGTAGGCATATTGCGCAGGGTTTCTACACAAATTTTGTCCTGTGATTCCTGTAATTCAAAATAAAATTTTTATTTTTTTTAAATACATTAAAAAGTACATAGATATATTTTTATGTAATTGAAGACATTAATCATTGGATAGATTTAACAAATTCAAAATATTGATTTTGATTGGCTTTCTTGAAACGTTCACTGCACAATTAAAAATTTATAGCAAAGATTTTGTTTCTTGATTCTAATCTAAAAATATTTCTTTAAATTAATAAAGATATTTCAGAAAAATGAGATGCAGTAAAAAAATCAAAAAATTAGCTATTTGTATACGACACTAGTTAAAACTATTAAATAAATAATGTTTAATACAATCAGACGGTCATTCTTTGTGGAATTGCTGTCAGACTTTGCTTCCTTCATAACTCTTTTAATTGTCATCTTACGCACAAGGATATCAAGTCTTTTTACCCCCTAGAACCTTTACATAAGAAATCCTGTAAAATTTCTAAAATAAATTATTTAAAATGCAATTCAGTTATTTTTTTTTAATATGCTTTTAATTTGCATGTCCACATACATCTGTGGTAATGTTACATCGTCCAAACGCAACATCCCCCCTACTAAACTTCTGACCTACTAACTTTCAGATCTACTACAATATCGGACCTTCGCCAGATGTTAATCTTGTATTATTTGAGGGTTAGATTAAGTCAATTTCTGGGCCGAGCAAGGCAGCTAGGACTGGCTAGGGGGCCAAGCGCCGCGGCAAGGACAGGCTAGGAGGCCGGGAATTGCGGCCACAAGTCTTTATAGCAGCTGTAAAACCACCTGCTAGTAGGTCGGATGTGTAGTATAGAGGATTTGGCATAGGTCAAAAGTGGAGTAGGGCGGATTTTCGTAGGTCGAAAAGTACACCATCCACATCTATATATATTTATCTATATCTAACTTTTCTTTCAGAAATTAGCATAAAATGGTGTCCGACACTTGACAACTATGAATTTAAAAAGGAAGAAGTATCCATGTTGTTGTAGTGTTTAGGTAAACAAATATATTTTATACAATATTTGAAAATTTCTCTATGGTTGTGTTTTCATGTTTTAATGAGTTTGTAACTTGTCGTATTTCTAAGTGACCATCCACGGAAAGATGGCTATGTATGATGCTTGCATGACCTTTGACTGATCATCGAGCCCAGAGAATCCTGTGTCTTTATCTCTCTAATAGTGTTTGAATTGAAGGGAAAACGCAAGAATGTAAGGCAAGGAAAGTCAATTGCGGTTGTGTATACTCTGTGTACATATTGAAACCATTTCTCTCTGGGCGGAATTTGTAAACAATAATAGATGCATCAGTGTTCGTTTAGTATCCGAGGAGGTTAAAAGCATTAAATTTTGAAAATTTTGATAATTCACATAATAGTTTCCTATGACCAGAATATTTCATTGATTTTTATGTGAATGATGGATCCCATGTCAGGCTTCGACATTCTTCTTATGTTTACATTAGCGCCCAGAGACAGTACACTGCAGTACTAAAGATGTGTACACTTCTGAATCAGCATTTGCTCTAATCTCAGCAAATTTGCCCTCTGTACCTTCAAAACCCTAGAATAATGCGCGCATGACGGATTCTGCATGATTGAACATATGTTCTAAATAATCTACCTAGTTATTAGAAGATCTTGGATAGGTGTAGACTGTAAACCAAATAATATAGTTCTTGTAAAGGTGTAGACCAAACAATATAGTTCTTGTATAGGTGTAGACCAAACAATATAGTTCTAGTATAGGTGTAGACCAAACAATATAGTTCTTGTATAGGTGTAGACCAAACAATATAGTTCTTGTATAAGTGTAGACCAAACAATACAGTTCTTGTATAGGTGTAGACCAAACAATATAGTTCTTGTATAGGTGCTTCCTATTGTCATGTTTCGTCGGACACCCTGTATCTCCGACATTCTTGATCAATCAAAGGGTTAAAGAGTACACGCAGTAAATAAAAAACTCCCCTCTATAAAGAATTGGGTTATTTGACCCTGGACTAACCAGAGCGCGATACATTTCTTCTATTTGGATTCAATAACGTGTTGGTCTATAATTCAAAAATCTTGAAACTGACGGAGATGTCTTTAAATACTTTTTCGTTTAAAACGCATACCAAATCAAACAAAAAGTATAAAATAAAAAAGGAGAAAAAATTATGTTTCGTCGGTCTAATAATGATGGAAAGTCAAAATTCTGCGAAGGACCGAACCGCAGGGGCGGATACAGGGGGGGGGCGGGGGAAAATTCGCCCCCCCCCTGAATTTGGAATTTTTTGTTCTTATTTTCAGAATAGCTTCTTAATACCATGCTTAAGGGAAAGAACCCCTAGTGCAAAACAGGAAAAATATCTGTCTTAATAAACTATAATGTGTGAAAAGTTAAAAATCTAGTTTTTTAGTCTTTAGTCATTAATTTTGACTCTTTTTGAGCCTTTTTTGTTCCTAATTATGAATTTGTTTGTTCCTAAAAAATCTTGCCCCCCCCCCTCACTTAAATCCTGTATCCACCCCTGCCGAACCGTTAAATCCGAGTGACTAGATATTACGGCTACGGTCACTTCAGCAGTCATAAATATACTTCATTCAGGCCTAAAATGATAAAATTTTGATAATTTCTTTCATTGTTTCTAATACACTGTAACTGAATAAACCCATGCAAGTTACTTCTACAGAAAACCCCAAAATTGAAAAGTATCGTAATTATGATTAAAAAAAACAACAAGAAAATCTGTATCATTTTTTCTCTATGAATTTAAAGGTCATAGTTGTGAACCCTTAAAATGGAGGATTACTTTTAAATCATTCTTTAACTAAATAAAAATATATTTTTAAATATTGACTGGCAAGAACAGATGTTAAATATTATGCATGATTATTTTTACTATATTTGTACTTTGAGGTTGAGCCAAGAGGAAGGGATGATTTAAAATTAAAATTTTTGGGAAAAAAAGATCATATATTAAGTTTATTTTCTTTATATAGATCCGAAGCTTGGTACACAGTACAACTATATGTTCTTTAACTTATTATACGGTAGACTGCACAAACGTTTTTATTATGTTGGCTTCAGTTAGTGTAATTAATGGGAAACTTATATCCAGATTTAACCAGTTAGCAATTGAACCTTATTTGAAGTGAAAACGTGAATTCAAGGTACAAGAATTTATGAATAGTAAAATTACGGGAGAAAGGGTTTGTGGGCATTTTACGGTTACATGTTTAGAACTTTGTTTAGAATATTTAATATCTAAATTCCTAAAAGGTCACATTCAANACAATATAGTTCTTGTATAGGTGTAGACCAAACAATATAGTTCTTGTATAGGTGTAGACCAAACAATATAGTTCTTGTATAGGTGTAGACCAAACAATATAGTTCTTGTATAGGTGTAGACCAAACAATATAGTTCTTGTATAGGTGTAGACCAAACAATATAGTTCTTGTATAGGTGTAGACCAAACAATATAGTTCTTGTATAGGTGTAGACCAAACAATATAGTTCTTGTATAGGTGTAGACCAAACAATATAGTTCTTGTATAGGTGTAGACCAAACAATATAGTTCTTGTATAGGTGTAGACCAAACAATATAGTTCTTGTATAGGTGTAGACCAAACAATATAGTTCTTGTATAGGTGTAGACCAAACAATATAGTTCTTGTATAGGTGTAGACCAAACAATACAGATGAAAACAAGCCTAGGATCATATTCATGCATAGCAGGTAAATAATTGCTAATTTTGATTATTTAGTCATAAAAAAAACCGATCCCAAAAAAAACTATCGTTATGGGGTTCTTTTTTAACTTAAATTTCGTATAGGGTATTAAATTTGCATGTTTGAAAATAGCAAACTTCTATAGAATAAAATTTTTAAATGTTGGAAGCTTCTCATATTGTCGTAAACCCTTTTAAAATCTAATAGCATTAAAAGTTTGTTTAAAACGAATCTGGCTATTGCCCATCTCTGATTGCATCACATATTTGAAACTATCATTTTCTTTTTTCTATTCGAGGCTATAATACACCAATTTTTCTATTTTTCAAAATAATTTTAAGTAAAATTTGATTGATTTTGTGTAAGTTTTAAATTTTGTAATTGTATTTAAAGGAATTGAGTTTTTGCCACAAACTCAAATTGGTTATTCCTATTTCTTTGAAACCTGATGGTGTAAACCTTTGATATTTCAAACTTAGGCTATTTGGTCTAACAGAATTCATAGTTTGAAATATCAAAGATCTACAACATCGGGTTAAACAGATATAGGGATTATAATGTTTAGTTTGTTGCAAAAATTCATTTCCTTTTTGTTATCTGTAAAAGAGGAGAAGGACAAAGTGGAAGTGGTGTTTAATGGATCAATTGATAAGGGAAAATATGGGAAAGAAAAGGAGGAAGAAAATGAGAAAGAGAAAAGTCTACCAAGATTGAACCCAGGTTATATTTTTTACAATGTTTATGAAAACCGTTTTTGAATGCAGCCGCAAAATCTAACACCTAGAATGTCAGCATAAATGTCAGATCTCTAATTTGCTATTCAGTCAATTGGATTCTTGTTCTTATCAAATATTTTACTATACATTAGGACTCATAAACTGTGGAATAGGAAGACGACAGCCTTGTATGAAGTTGATGCTGTTCTAAGTATAAAGTAAAAACTGCACAAAAAAGCTGTGTTTCACGTAAATTGGACATTTAAATTCTGAAGTCCAACCAGGGGGGGGGGGTGCAGAAGTCCTAAATTGGTAATCACCACCAATCAATCATGTTTTGCGGTATGTGCGCTCCTCTTAATTGGTAATATCCACCACCTCAATGGTAATCAGACAAAAATATGGTAACATTAAATCGTTTATTTCTTAGAAATAATACCATATTGACTTCTGTTAACAGTCCTATGGTGTACATGATTCTTAAAGCTTTCTAATTATTGCTCCTCAGTCTCGAAAACAAATCTATAAACATGCCACATGTGCACGCACGCTCCTCAATTAGCAATAAAGCACTAGAAACAATTAGTGAACTTAATACTTCATTTTCACTAGTGGGCGCGATGAGACTGATTTTTCTAAATTCTTTGTTCTTTCTATGGATGTAATAAGTTTTGTTGTAGATGTTGAACTCAAGTAGCGGAATACAAAAATCTAAACACTGTAAAGCTTTTTTGAAAATATCTTTTAAATGGAGATAGATATTACTTTGGGCAGGGTGAGGAAATTTTTAGTAAACAGGCAGCCCGACCTTTTAGTACCTTACTTCCAATTATGAAATGCAGTCATTAGATAAGAGAATTGTATCTAAAATTTAGCTAAAATAAACTATACCTTTTTTTCTCAGTTTTTGTTTACCAAACCAATCTGAAAACAAATTAAAAATGAAACCCCGATAGATGTCGAAAATTGTGTTAAAAATGCATTAAATTAAAATTTCAGAAAGCAAGATTTTACAGTGATTACAAATTAAGGTGGTGGAAATTAAAAATTGAGGAGTGTGCATGCCACAAAAAACGTTTGGGTGGCGGTGATTACTGATTAAGGACTTCTATACTCCCCCCCTCGTCCAACATTTACTCCCATTTTTAGACAAATAACAGAATAGCTGTCAATATATCATGTTATATATCATATACCTAATCTGACCTAACCTGGCCTAAACTGACCTATAAGGAGTCTTGTAATTTTATGACCAGTCAGGTAATCCAACCTAACCTGACCAATTCTGACCAATTCCAACCTTAGTGGCCAGGTCAGATTAAGACCAGTATGAGACCAGTTTATAGATAACCCGACCTAACCCAACCTCACACAACCTAACCAAACCTAAGGGTATTGGTCATGTTCTGACCAGTACGGTATTCCAACATGACCTGACCAATCCAGACCAAATCCGACCTGATTGGACCGGTCAGGTTAAGACCAGTATGAAATAAGTTAGGTAACCTGACCTAACCCAACCTAACCTGACCCAACCGGACCTTGGGGGACTGGTCTGTTCTAACCAGTAAGGTATTCTGACTACTCTGACCAATCTTGTTCAAATCCAACCTTAAAGGACTGGTCAGTTTAAGACCAATATGAAACCAGTTAGGTAACCCAACCAAACCCGACTTAAACTTACACAACCCGACCTAGGGGCAATGACTGGTCATGTTCCGATTAGTTTGTTATCCTGATGTAATTCTCAACCAATCTCAACCAAATCCGACCTCAGTGGATTGGTCAGGTTAAGACCAGTATATGAGAACAGTTAAAGGTAACCCGATCTAACCCATGATAAAACCTGACCAAGAGGGTCTGGTCATGTTCAGACCAGTTTGGTAATCTGACGTAATACTTAACCTAACCCGACCTATCTCGACCTAACAGAACTTGTCGTTCGACGTCGCACTGATTGCTATAAGGGGGTAATTTCCTAGTATACGATTTTTGGACCCCCCCCCCTCCTATCAATTTTGTACATGGGTCTGACAGGAAGTGCCTTAACTTAACCTAACCCGTGGCCGCAGCGCTCGGCCCCCTAGCCCATCCTAGCCGCAGCGCTCGGCCTTTCCTTAACCTAACCTAACCCTAAATAACAAAAAAATAAATAATAATAAATTTGCTGAAAAATTCCGAAAGCTGTGCCTAGGACGGGCTAGGGGCCGAGCGCTGCAGCTAGGACAGGCTAGAGGACCGAGCGCCGCGGCTAGGACAGTTTACTGGGGGGGTGGGGCTGGCGCTGCGGCTATGACCAATAATAACCATGGTATACATGAAATTGATAGGAGGGGGGTCCCGGGGGCCGGGGTTTCCAAAAATTGTGTATAAATTACTAATAACCCATCACTAGTCACGTCCAGCCCTATAATTCTAAATGCATAAGTATTTCAAAGACAGCACACGCGTTGTGTATTGCGCAAAAGTGCTAAGATGATTTGAATTGAAAACATTGTTTTGTACTCTGCAGTTCATTGAAAACATTCTGAACACATGTACGTACGTCGTACAATTTAAACCATTAATAAGAATTTAGAAAATTAAAATGGAATATCGATTCTAACCTTTAGGCTTTAAAACTAAGTGTTGAATTTGAATCTTCTAAACTCACCTGTTGATTAAACCGTATTTTATTGTCTGTATTTCAGTGTTTTGTTTTTACTCTGAAAAGTGAAAAAGTGTAAGGTCGCAATAAATATAAAGTTCGGTAATTTTTCTTAAATACGACATTTTTGGACCCCCTCCCCTCGGGCCGGAGCGCCCAGCCGCCTAGGCGGTCCAAGCCGCGGCGCTCGGCCCAGAAATTGTCTTAAATTGTCTAAACCCCAAAATAATGAAAAATAAATAATATAAATGTTGCTTAAAATTTGAGTAATTTCCTGGATAACGATTTTCGGACCCCCCCCCCTCCTAGCAATTTATGTACATGGATCTCATATGTAACACGTATGTCGATATAATTGGTCATGTGGCTCCATAGCCTGTCGTAGCCGCAGCGCTCGGCCCCCTAGCCTTTCCTAGCCACAGTGCTTGGCCCAGAAAGTGTCTTAACATAACCTGACCCGAAAATAAAAAAAAGAAATATAATAATATTGCTGATAAATTTAAACGGTGATGTACAAAATTGATAGGAGGAAGGAAGGGATCGGGGGGGGGGGGGGGGTTCCAAACATCTTTTCTAGGACAGACCCGGAAATTTGTGTTGATGCACCTTCAAGTTGGACGGAGATTTGAAGAAATCCGTCCGGATTCTAATTTTTAATATAACAACGAAACTTTTCAAATGTTTGATAAATCTCACTTTTTTACACATTTTCAAAAGCTCAGAAGACGTTATTATTTATTTTGAAACACTCGTTGTCATTTTTCAGCTACTAGAAATCAAAAACGATTTTGAAGTTATACTCTTAACTCCAATAATTAATTTGGGTCATCCTGTAGAATATTTTGATTTTTAAAAACCTTATTCTATTTTCAGTTGATTCTGGCGAAATGGAACATATTTTTCCTCGGTTTCTCAAATCCGTAAAGAAACGTATTCCTATTCTGACCTGGTTGAAAACATACACACTCGGCGATGTAAGTAAATGAAACCATTTCATGCAATTTCTTTTTTTCTCAAATACTTACCAATTATACTAAAAAAACGTCTAATCCATTGAAATCTTGGACTTGCTTATTAGAGTGACATTTTTTAGACTTGCGGAAGTCTAGGACAAATAAACAAGTTAATCATTTAGACTATGTAAGAGCGTTGAATGAAAAATGAAAGGGGGTATAGTCTTACGGTGAAAAATAATCGCTTTTGATCGTTACTAATCTTACTTCTATCTGTAGCGTCTAAAAGGAGAAAATTGTTAAATACGTCTTATACTGAAGAACGTAGCGTCCATACAAATTCAGAAAGTTGTAGTACATATATTTCGGATTCTAATTAAAAATTAATTTCAAGCAAATCATTCGATCAGATATTACAACCTATTGTCTTCGATTATTTTTTGACGCATTCGTATATAGTTAAAAGTTCATAATATTTTTTATTCGTTTTGTATACAATGCACTTAAAACGCCGAAATAGTTGGCCTCCGGATGTTTCTGCTCTCGATGCTTTGATGATGCCTATTTGATGACTATTAACTGAACAGAAACGCCCCCCCCCCCTCTCTAGTATTTTGTCCTAGGGCACTGTGAAGATTTGACACCTTATTAATTAATAGAAATTTAGAGGGTCTTTTTTTGTAAAAAAACCTTTTTTCTAATGCATAGGAAAGGGTACAAGGCGGTAAAACGTTTGGTCTAGAGAAAAAAACTAAAATAGCCCAGAACTTTTTTGAGACTGAAGGCCTGAAACTATATTTTTGAAAAACCCTTGAAACATGTTTCACACTTGATACTTGTTTTTAACAAAATATATTATTTACATTTTTTTCTCCATATTTTGGTATTTTTTGTTAACCCTTCCCTAGCACCCAAATTTTTAAAGTTATCGGTCTATTTTTTTTTCAATGAGCTGACCTTGAAAAATTGGGCCATTAACATGCATTTCAATCCTATGCATAAAATAAGGGCTTTTTCTAGGGGGAGGTGTGTGTCGTCCCCCCCCCCCAGCTTAACATAGATTCAGACCCCAGGCCTTCAGCCTTTATAGGGTTAAAAGTATTTTTGATTGTTCAATTTTCAGTGCATATCTGATGCTATAGCAGGGGTCACAGTGGGACTAACAGTAATACCACAGGTAACTACCAGTTTATTCCACAAGCAGTGTTCAGGATTCTAATCCGTATTAGTATGCGGATCCACGGATCTAGATCCAAAGGGCAAAATTTTAACCAAAAGCTGTAAAAACAGGTTTTGCTTTCAACCCCCAAATGAAAATTAGTTATGAAGATGCAAGTTTTTATTTATTCATTTTCATACTTTCTATCCAAACATTTATTCATTTTCACCAAAAACTTGTTTATTTTTTGCAAATAAGCGAATAAAAACAGATTTTCAAAGAGAGGGGGACAGGTAATGATAAGTGAAATTAATCCTAAGCTCTGACTACAAGCATTTGAAAATAATGCCTCATAGGATCAGACAATTAGCCCCAAACAGCGATTAACGTCCCATCCCGCTCTCTAGTCGTTTATCGTCCCATCCCGCTCTCTAGTCGTTTATCGTCCCATCCCGCTCTCTAGTTATCGTCCCATCCCGCTCTCTAGCCGTTTAACGTCCCATCCCGCTCTCTAGCCGTTTATCGTCCCATCCCGCTCTCTAGTCGTTTATCGTCCCATCCCGCTCTCTAGTCGTTTATCGTCCCATCCCGCTCTCTAGTTGTTTATCGTCCCATCCCACTCTCTAGTCGTTTATCGTCCCATCCCGCTCTCTAGTCGTTTATCGTCCCATCTAGCACTAGCACTCTCATTTTTGAAACTATAGCACCTTAAAATTTTTTACTTAAAAGGAATAGTAATTTTAAGGAAGTTTTTTAATGCATAGGTACGGGTACAGGGCAGTCAAAAAGTCCGGTCCGTGTTAAAAAAAAATATAAAATAGACCATAAATCTACATGATCTTAAAGCTACATTTTTGAAAAGCCATATTTTGGCATTTTCTAAAAATCTTCCTAGCGCCCAAACTTTTGAAGTTAGAGGTCAAATTTTTTTTCTCAATGAGCTGGCCTTGAAAATTTGGGCTATGCACAATACACATGCATTGCAACCCTTTACCTTTAATCTAAAGCTTTCTTCTATGGTGGTGGGGGGGGGGGGCGCGGGACGTCCCCCGGCCCCCATCCCAGGCTTTACATAGACCCACTAGATTTTAAAGGGTTAACATTAATATCTCAGTCATCTCTGAAAGTTTAAGTTATTATTTTCAGGGTATAGCCTATGCTGCAGTGGCAGGACTGGATGCACAGTATGGATTATACTCAGCATTCATGGGATGTTTTGTTTATTGTATTTTTGGAACATCCAAAGTGATCACTATCGGACCTACTTCAATAATGGCGCTAATGACTCAGGTAAAGTGATCACCATCGAACCTACTTCAATAATGGCGCTAATGACTCGGGTAAAGTGATCACCATCGGACCTACTTCAATAATGGCGCTAATGACTCAGGTAAAACGATCACCATCGGACCTACTTCAATAATGGCGCTAATGACTCAGGTAAAGTGATCACCATCGGCCTACTTGAAAAATGACGCTAATGACTCAGGTAAATTGATTACCATCGAACCTACTTCAATAATGGCGCTAATGACTTGGGTAGAACGATCACCATCGGACCTACTTTAAAAATGGCGCTAATTAATGACTCAGGTAAAGTGATCACCATCGGACCTACTTCAATAATGGCGCTAATGACTCAGGTAAAACGATCACCATCGGACCTACTTCAATAATGGCGCTAATGACTCAGGTAAAGAATGCAAATTAAGAGTAAACATTATTTTTTAAAAAATTTAAACTTTTTCAAGAGGGGGCGGAGAAGCATGTAACCTCCCTTAGCCACCATAGCCGCTAGTTTCAGGAAGGGGCTCAACCCCAAAGCCTCTTTTCACTCCCCTGCTGAAACTATTTGTTTATGTTAAGGCCAATGCGAAGCTTGGACCTGATTATGCTGTACTGCTCTCCTTCTTCTCAGGGATCATCACTCTTAGTTTCGGTATTCTACAGTTAGGTAAGCAAACATTTATTAGAAGGGGCAGGCCGCGGGGTATATTCCGGATCATATTAAGGACTTAATAAGCATGTTCATGTGACCCTTGTAAATGAAAGGTTATTTAAAATTACGTCTACAATCCCATTCAAGGAAAAATCTGAAAATCTTTTGTGTATAGGGCATTTCTTGATTAAATTATTTCAGGATTAATTTAAAATTTTATATGTTTCAGGAATTTGATTTTTCTGAGTTTACAAAGTAACAAAACCGGTTTTACTTTTTGTAAAATGCGCCAATACAGGGTATTTCCTTAAAGTTGTGTTTTCTCCCCGCTAGGTGGTGTAAGAATCAATTTGTTATATTCTAGTAAACCACTTTGAATTGTTAGATTATCGCTAGCATAATAAAGTATAATGTACTTTTTAGTTTTTTGTAGAAATATTAGATGATTATTTATTTTGAATTTATCTGAACTGTTGACCAGGTAAATTACACCTATTATACTTTTAATTATCATGACCATGACTCTACAGTATTAGCATAAAATCAGGCTTGGAAACTCTCTCTAATATCTATGATTTTTAAGGGTCTATATGATCTGATTAAATATTGTCTAGAACAGCTCGAAGTTACCAAAACTATGATTTGACCCCACGCGCGCGCCTTGAATACCGCCATCTTTGTTGTTAATCATTTCCAAATTTTGCCTTTTTTCTTGACAATAGATTTGATTATTTAGGTTTCTTGGTTGATTTCATCTCTGCCCCGGTCATCTCTGGATTTACGAGTGCAGCGAGTGTGAAGGTCATCACAGGCCAAACCAAAGCTCTTCTAGGCCTTACTATCGGTAAATACCGTGCAGCTAGGGGTTTCTAAAATTTATTCTTTCTGATTAGGGGGGGGGGGGATCACACACAAAATAGATACCAAGAAAAATTCCGGGGGTGGAAACCAATTTCAATCGTAATGTGTATTTGTCAATGTTTCAATACATTGAAAGATAGACCCTCATTTCTCTGAAATATTTTTATATTTAAATCCCCATCCCCTAGCATTTGTTGATCATTAGTCGAGTCAATTTCATGTCTCATTAACCGTAAACATCTGCAAATTGGAAATATCAATTTTAAGTTTAAAATGTTTGTTATTCATTTTGCATAATGCATGATTCATTTATCATTCAAAAAAAATTAGGCAACAGCATAATTTGAATTTACAATGACTTGTATGTATGTGAGACATTTAGTGAACCTGGTGAAGCCTTTATCTTTAGTTAGCTTTTCAGATTTTTACAATTTTTAATTTTATTAAAGTTGCAATTTAAAATCCCAACCACTGACCGGTTCATACCATGGATCCCTCAAAATATTTGAATGTTTTTTTGAGAGAATTTCTAACATTTGTGAATATCATACCAACAAAGATTTTAACATGAATATAATAGAATAAGATCATGTTTTCTCAGTTTCCTTATGTTTCCTCAGGTAAACTCTAAACCTTCTGAGCAAAGATATGATTCTTTTTCTATCTAAACAGTGATAACTTTTAGTTGTGGTTTCTCTATTAAATTGACTTTCAGATTTAGACGTCAGAGAAGGAATGGAAATTGAATACATACAATAGATTCAATACAATACAATACATACAATAGATTCAATACAATACATACAATAGATACAATACAATACAATACATACAATAGATACAATACAATACAATAGATACAATACAACTAAGTCTTCTTAATCCGAGCTCAGATTAAGATTCAAAGTGTTTCGATTGTAGTTTGGTATTGCTGAACTCTTAATTTCCAAAAATGAATAAATACAAGTATATACATTTGTTTATAGATATTGTGAATTATATATGTTTTAGGTGAGAAGTCCCAGATAAATCTTGGAATAGTGGACGAATGGATTGATATATTTACTTATATAAAAACAATAAGGAAGGTTTTTACGTTAATTGACAGTAGGCTTCTGCCATTATTTACAGGACAGTTTGTAAAAAAGTCATTTTTAATGATTAGAATTAAACTTTTATAACATCCTCAGTCGTTTTTGGTTTATTGTACTTAAAAATGTAACTACAGTGAAAAAAACTACAATTATCAAATTACTTCAGGAACTTTTTTTTTGAACGAGATTGTAAATTGTCCAAACTGGCAAAAAAAGGTTTTACGCTCACAGGTAGAAAAACTCGGGTTTGGAAATTAATTTCGATATATTTTATATCCTCTTCTGTCCTACAGAAAATGACCAAAGTTATTACAAATTAAAAATAAAGATAATGTAACAAATAACTTTCTAGAAATTTATTAAAAAAGTAAGCAAATGGGGGGGGGGGTTTAAGTGGAATGAAAAAATGAAAAGTGTAAAAATTGAACGAGATTGTTCATATAATGTTCGCATAGTTACAAGTGTGGGTGTTCATATAATTACAAGTGTGTGTGTTCATATAATTACAAGTGTGTGTGTTCATATAATTACAAGTGTGTGTGTTCATATAATTACAAGTGTGTGTGTTCGCATAATTACAAGTGTGAGTGTTCGCATAATTACAAGTGTGAGTGTTCGCATAATTACAAGTGTGTGTGTTCGCATAATTACAAGTGTGTGTGTTCGCATAATTACAAGTGTGTTTGTTCGCATAATTACAAGTGTGTGTGTTCGCATGATTACAAGTGTGTGTGTTCGCACAATTACAAGTGTGTGTGTTCGCATAATTACAAGTGTGTGTGTTCGCATAGTTACAAGTGTGGGTGTTCATATAATTACAAGTGTGTGTGTTCGCATAATTACAAGTGTGTGTGTTTATATAATTACAAGTGTGTGTAAATGCCTGATTGACAAATAACCCTAGGTCCTTATCCATACAACAAAAAGGCAAATACAATTGTGTTTCTAATTGGACAAGTTATAAATTTTAAATTTCCTTTTTTGTTTCTGCTCCGCTAATCCGCAAGTCATTTTGGATAATTATAGGTACGATAAGTAATGGCAATCATTTTAATTTGTATTGCAAGATTCATTTAAAAATCCCCTAAATTTTTTTCTAAAGTAAGTTTACCAATCCTTTACAGTTTTTCCACTTCGACCCAATAAACCAAAAAAAAATTGCAGTGTTTAAAAAATTGTTTTTTACATTTTTTATAAAATTCGTGACGTAATTGTACCCAATAGGTACACTGATGCAATACTGGGTATAGGTAGTCTTGTACTTCTCCTCTCTCTCAGAGTAAGCATAATTTAAAAATTAGGATTTTTAAATTTGCGAATTTAAGAAACTGTTAAATAAATGTTTTTCAGAGTCTTCTCGTAGCAAAAAATCTTTCTAATACTTTAACTTTATTATTATTTTAATTGAAGATAAAACACCAGTGATGTACTTTAACCCCTGAAGAAATATATGTTACTAGCTATAAAGTGGCCGGCTTTGCCCCGTGGAATTTTTTAAAAACTTGAAAAATATTTTCGAATTAAAAATTTTTTTTAGCCTATTACCCCCGAGTTACTCAAGGGTTCCCTCAAAAAAGTTCATCCAATTTGGTCCAGCCGTTTGTCCAGCTATAACTAACATATATATATATATGAGCGGAGAGCTTTATTATAGATTTCTGTTCAGGCCTTGAACCGTGTTGCTTGGTTTAAATCCTCTCAGCTTCCTAGTCCTGGTATTCAAACTTGGTTCAACAACCTTCCATCTAGTATTCAGGGATTCCTTCAATCATTACAAAGAGACCTGCACTTACTGTTAAAGTTTCCTTAAAGAGACTGTTAACGCAATTTTTAAGTGGCCCTCCATGCAATCGTGGTAATACCCAATTCACAACCCTTTATCTGATTAATAATGTGCAAGGGCGATTACGGGGGGGACTGCAGGACTTTTGCACCCCCCTGAGATTTCAGAATAGCTTCTCAATAGCACTTAAGTGAAAGAAAACCTAGTGCAAAACAGAAAAGTAAAAAATATATCGCCTTCGGTGTGTCTTTTGGTTCCTAAATCTGGATTTTTTGTTCCGAAATAAATCTAGCACCCCCCTCACTTTAATCCTGCATCCGCCCCTGCAACTGAAGCAGAATAATGTAGGAAAAGGAACTCCTGCGTATAAGGCTGATCAAATCCCCAAGAGATAATGAGCCTTTTTTCAGAGCAGAGTTGACGTTTGCAAAACAGAAAAGTAAAAAATATATCGCCTTCGGTGTGTCTTTTGGTTCCTAAATCTGGATTTTTTGTTCCGAAATAAATCTAGCACCCCCCTGAGATTTCAGAATAGCTTCTCAATAGCACTTAAGTGAAAGAAAACCTAGTGCAAAACAGAAAAGTAAAAAAAATCTTCCTGGTTCAAAATAAATCTAGCACCCCCCCCCCTCACTTAAATCCTGTATCCGCACCTGATAATGTGGAAGAGATTGTTTTTATTCCAGGTTTAAAAGTATTTAATTCTGATGATTCTTATGCGTTTTCCTGCAGTAGAAATGTCCAAATCTACAAATAAAAATAACTAGTTCTCAAAATTATAAATATTTTTGCATAGAGGGTCTCATGAAATTACTCCTTACAGACCCTTCAGATATTAGAAACCCAACAACAGCCCTTGAGACCCGTGTCAGGACTCAGGATCCATCAACAATATCGTCATAAAAACAAGTTCAATGATAACTTGATATTAGATGTTTTTCATTTTAATTCAAAACTCGAAACATCCTAGATTTTGTTCAACTGATTTTTGAAATTTTGATTTCACTTATACAAGGTCTCCCGAGAAATAAGGCTCGTTATAAATCGTCTTAAATTTCCAATATGTGTAGGTCGCATTGGTCGCATTGGTTTTCCAGAATATGGTCGAAATTTTTGTATCTTTTAAACTGAAGGAAATATCAAATATTGAACCTCTTGTAGGAAATTGAAATCTCTTGATTTTTATTTCTTGATTTCTTGATTTGCAAAATTCAAAAATGGCAGACTATTTTTTTTAATTGGCTGATTGTAATAGAAATCAAAAACATTTTGTAAATTTTTCCTTTAATTCAAATTTATAATGAATTTTAAGTATGATGAATAAATGAATGTTTGAATGTATAGAATGTAATGAGTAAATGTATCTGGTTCTGCAGTACATCAAGGTACAACTTTTAGAATGTAAACAGTATTCAAATTTTATTGTTTTATATTAAAAATTAAATTTTAATTTTATTTTTGCATGTAAGTTAGAATGGACTAAGAATATTTTTATAAAAAAATAGTTCTTTGTTTATAACAATGTCCTGCAATTACTGGGAGGAATATAAACAAACATGATCAAACATAATGATGTTTCGGCACAGTAATGTTAAACATCTTTTATAAACTTAATGAATTGAAGAGGTCGTTGAAGTACTTACCGCTGGATTAAATCCTGATTCACTGATTCAAATCATCATGAAAGTTCTAGTTTGAATCGGTGGTTCAGGATATGAATCGGTGATTCAAGATTTGAACCAGGCAGTAGGTAGTTCAGCGACCTAGCTCAAATTTGTTAATAATTGTTCATGAGACCGAATTTAATGAATTTGAACTTACAACTGCTGGTTCAAATTTGAACCAGCAGTAGTAAGTTCAAATCAAAATCGCTGATTCAAATCTTGAACCATCGCTGGGCGGTTCATATTAATCAAATTCAGTCCCAGGGCGTAACTTTTGTTATATGGTTTAATCTCAAAACATTCCTAATCTCTTCTTTAACTTCTTGATTGTTCAGGAATTCATTAGTTGTGATATCTTGTGCTGTTATGGCTGGATACATTGATCAGGACTGTATTGACATCATGAAGGATAAAAACCAGGTTAGGAACATTAAAGGGACTGTATTGACATCATGAAGAATAAAAACCAGGTTAGGAACATTACAGGGACTGTATTGACATCATGAAGGATAAAAACCAGGTTAGGAACATTACAGGGACTGTATTGACATCATGAAGGATAAAAAACAGGTTAGGAACATTAAAGGGACTGTATTGATATCATGAAGGATAAAAACCAGGTTAGGAACATTAAAGAGACTGTAAACGATCTATTTAAAGTGGAATGTCTGATTCACAAAGGTTACCTAACCTTTGAGGAATGGTTACTGAAAATTATATCTGAAGCCCATTAATTGAAAAAAATTTATTAAAGTTTTCGTTTTTCAGATTTTGTGGCAAAATGTTTCCTGCTTTATTGTTTATTTTATATTAACAACAATTAGATGTATCTTAATCTGTGACTGTTTAGTTTCCTGGAAACAAATTTTGAATTGCTAATGTTTAGTCAACAGCATGGGTTGCCATACATGTTGCTTTTAAATCAAAGGTTTTTGGAGTGTTTCTTCTTCAATCTTATTTTTAGGGACTTCCCGTAAATGGTTCTTGTGTTTGGAGATTAACTGGAAGTATACAAGAGGGTCTTCCACCCTTTCATCCTCCTCCATTTTCAACACTTAGTTCAAGTAGGTCTATCCCTCCATCATAATATCCTACTCCATTTTCAACATTAGTTCAAGTAGGTCTATCCCTCCATCATTATATCCTACTCCATTTTCAACACTTAGTTCAAGTAGGTCTATCCTTCCATCCTTATATCCTACTCCATTTTCATTATATCCTACTCCATTTTTATCAATTAGTTCAAGTAGGTCTATCCTTCCATCCGTATATCCTACTCCATTTTTAGCAATTAGTTCAAGTAGGTCTACCCTTCCATCCTTTCATCGTACTCCATTTTCAACAATTTGTTCAAGTAGGTCTTTCCTTCCATCCTTATATCCTACTCCATTTTCAACACTTAGTTCAAGTAGGTATAACCTTCCATCCTTATATCGTACTCCATTTTCAGCACTTAGTTCAAGTAGGTCTATCCTTCCATTCTTATATCCTACTCCATTTTCAACAGTTAGTTCAAGTAGGTCTATCCTTCCATCCTTATATCCACCTACATTTTCAACAGTTAGTTCAAGTAGGTCTATCCTTCCATTCTTATATCCACCTACATTTTCAACAGTTAGTTCAAGTAGGTCTATCCATCCATTCTTATATCCACCTACATTTTCAACAGTTAGTTCAAGTAGATCTATCCTTCCATTCTTATATCCACCTATATTTTCAACAATTAGTTCAAGTAGGTCTATCCCATTCTTATATCCACCTACATTTTCAACAGTTAGTTCAAGTAGATCTATCCTTCCATTCTTATATCCACCTATATTTTCAACAATTAGTTCAAGTAGGTCTATCCTTCCATTCTTATATCCACCTACATTTTCAACAGTTAGTTCAAGTAGATCTATCCTTCTATCCTTATATCCTACTACATTTTCAACAGTTAGTTCAAGTAGATCTATCCTTCCATCATTATATCCTACTACATTTTCAACACTTAGTTCAAGTAGGTCTATCCTTCTATCATTATATCCTACTACATTTTCAACACTTAGTTCAAGTAGGTCTATCCTTCCATCATTATATCCTACTCCATTTTCAACACTTAGTTCAAGTAGGTCTATCCTTCCATCCTTATATCCTACTCCATTTTCAACACTTAGTTCAATCCCTCCATCATTATATCCTACTCCATTTTCAACACTTAGTTCAAGTAGGTCTATCCTTCCATCCTTATATCCTACTCCATTTTCAACACTTAGTTCAAGTAGGTCTATCCTTCCATCATTATATCCTACTACATTTTCAACACTTAGTTCAAGTAGATCTATCCTTCTATCCTTATATCCTACTCCATTTTCAACAGTTAGTTCAAGTAGGTCTATCCTTCTATCATTATATCCTACTACATTTTCAACACTTAGTTCAAGTAGGTTTATCCTTCCATTCTTATATCCTACTCTATTTTCAACAATTAGGTCAAGTAGGTTTGTCCTTCCATCCTTATATCCTACTCCATTTTCAACAGTTAGTTCAAGTAGGTCTATTCTTTCATCCTTATATCCTACTCCATTTTCAACATATAGTTCAAGTAGGTCTATCCTTCCATCCTTATATCCTACTCCATTTTTATCAATTAGTTCAAGTAGGTCTATCCTTCCATCCTTATATCCTACTCCATTTTCAACAATTAGTTCAAGTAGGTCTATCCTTCCATTCTTATATCCTACTCCATTTTCAACAATTAGTTCATGCAGGTCTATCCTTCCATTCTTATATCCACCTACATTTTCAACAGTTAGTTCAAGTAGATCTATCCTTCCATTCATATATCCACCTACATTTTCAACAGTTAGTTCAAGTAGGTCTATCCATCCATTCTTATATCCACCTACATTTTCAAAAATTATTTCAAGTAGATCTATCCTTCCATCCTTATATCCTACTCCATTTTCAACAGTTAGTTTAAGTAGGTCTATCCTTCCATCCTTATATCCTACTCCATAGTTCAAGTAGGTCTATCCTTTTCGACAATTACCTCAAAAAGTTGCATCCTTCCATCAAAACATTAACAATTTTAAAGTTTGCTCACGATTGGTAACGATTTAGATTTAACATTTATATTGTTTTTGTTTTAAGACAATGAAACAGTAAGTTTTGGAGAAATGGCGACAGAAATGGGTTCTGCTATCATTCTTGTGCCTCTCATTGCGATTCTCCAACATATTGCAATTGTAAAGGCGTTTGGTAAGCTTAAATTAATTCTTTAATAGCTTTTGGACAATTTATAATAATTCAATCTAATTAAGGATATAACGGATAGCACTCAACAATTCATAAGTCTGTTATAATTGATACTAGCTGAAGGGCCCGGCGTTGCACGTGAAAAAAGAGGAGAAAAAAATTTGAAAAAAAAAGAAATATTGGACTTCGAGACTTCGAGGCATGTTTTAAAATGAACAAGTTATGCTGGAGCTTTTATCAGAATCAGTTTTACCTAACCTTCTATCTATCTAACTATCTCAGTCTATCTTTATCTAACTAGTCTTTTATCTATCTAACTATCTCAGTCTAACTTTATCTACCTAGTATTCTATCTATCTAACTATCGCGCTGTCTATCTTTATCTATCTACCTAACCTTCTATCTATCCTACTATCTCAGTCTATCTTTATCTAACTAGTCTTTTATCTATCTAACTATCTCAGTCTATCTTTATCTAACTAGTCTTCTATCTATCTAACTATCGCTGTCTATCTTTATCTATCTATCTAACCTTCTATCTATCTAACTATCTCAGTCTATCTTTATCTAACTAGTCTTTTATCTATCTAGCTATCTCAGTCTATCGTTATCTATCTAACCATTTATCTATCTAACTGTCGCTGTCTATCTTTATCTATCTAGTCTTCTATCTATCTAACTATCGCTGTCTATCTTTATCTATCTAACCTTTCATCTATCAACTATCTCAGTCTATCTTTATCTATCTAGTCTTCTATCTATCTAACTATCTCTATCTATCTTTATCTATCTAGTCTTCTATCTATCTAACGATCTCTACTCTAGAAGTATGACTCAGACCATGTAAGATAAACAGTCTGAGTAACTATGCGTTTATCATTGTCACCAAACAAGATACATAGTATATGTCATATATGATGGATACCAGGAAATCCAACATGCTGGATCTTAAACCAAACAAGATACATAGTGTATGTCATATATGATAGATACCAGGAAATCCAACATGTTGGATCTTAAACCAAACAAGATACATAGTATATGTCATATATGATAGATACCAGGAAATGTAACATGTTGGATCTTAAACCAAACAAGATACATCATCATATCGGTCTCATAAAATTGCGGAAAATAACATGAACAATAAAATATGGAAGAAAAGAGATAAAATAAAAACTCTACAAGAATAAAAAAGGATTGTGACTTGTGAGGAAAAGATCGAACACGTTTTATGATCTAGCTGAATATGTTAGATAGTAGGTTTATCCTGCAACTTGGGCAATTACGGGGCTTCGTGCAAATATCCATCTATTATCTATCTATGTATCTATGTATCTATGTATCTATGTATTTATCAATTTACTAAAAACTTCAAACGTAATTTTTAAAAAATAAAAAATTTTATCTAAAAAAAAATCGCTAAGAAAAAGGCATTCGAGGTTGTGTAACACCCCTTTTTTCAAATCTTAGGACAATATTGATTTGCTAGTTAAATCTAAGTATTGTTTATTAAGCTGGAGGTAAACCTGTTGAAGCAAGCCAGGAGCTGATTGCACTGGGCTGCAGCAATATGTTGGGTTCATTCGTTAGATCTATGCCAACCACAGGATCCTTCAGGTAAATACTGTTGAACAACAGGATTATCTGCCAAACTGTGCTTAGAATCCGAATCCGTTGGATCTGCAAGATTTTACCTTCCTGGGTCGGATCCTCATAAATATACAGATCCACGGATCCGGATCCAAGCTAAAAAAAAATCAACCAAAAACTGCAAAAAAAAATCCGAATTTTTGAAATAAGAGATATTATAAAAAAATATTTTAGCATAAAAAAGCGAAAAAAAGGTAGAAAAATAATTTGACACTTTTGCTTTGTTAAAAATATTTAGTAAATCCTAAAGAAATATTCATGACCTGCAATCCGGATACATTTTTTTCCAGTGCGGATCCAGGATAATTTTTTGATTGATAAACATATTTTATATTATTTTCTTAAATTTAGTCGTAGTGCCGTGAACTCTAACAGTGGAGTTAGAACTCCTCTAGGCGGAGTGTTTACTGGATTAATCATAGTTCTTTGTCTTGCTGTTCTTATCCCATACTGTGCTTTCATTCCTAAGGTAAATAATAAATATACTTATACAGGGTTACCCTCCAAGGATGGGACTAAAGATACGACTGTAGGGCATTTATATTGTCTGTTTCCTTATATTCTTTGTTCCCTTTAACTATAAAGTTGTTTCGTTCCTCGGCAAATCATTAAATAAGCCAATAAAGCAGGGGCGGATACAGGTGGGGGGAGGGAGGGGGTGGCAGGACTTTTGCACAGCCCTGAGATTTCAGATCTAGCTTCTCAATGACACTTAAGGGAATGAAAACCTTGTGAAAAACAGAAAAAAAATATCTATATTAAAACAATTTTCGGTTGCGGCGTGTCTTTTGGTTCCTAAATCTGGATTATTTTGTATCCGCCTTGCATTAAAGGCAGTAGATTTAATCCAACCTTTGAATCACCATGTTAAAAAAAATAGAGATTAAGGTCGTCTTTACAGTTTGCTCCATGTATTTACTCCTTACTTATACCCAGTAAAGAGAGTATCGAAAGTTGTCTTTATCCAATTTTCAAATTAAATCATATATTTTTCTTCAGTAATAATTTTAGCAGATATTAACTAAATGTAAGAACAATAAATATATATTAAACTACTTCAGCAGAGGAGCTTAGATACAGAGCGTCCCATATCATATTATATTATTTCCAATCTTTAACACCAAAATAAACCCTTAATACTCGAAAAACTTATCATTTTCCGCAAGAAAATTCTTATATAAGCCTTATGTTATTTTTCAAAGTGATTCATTCTAATGAAGTTTTCTAATTAGTCACGAAAATCGTAATTTAGACCCGTTATCGGTCTAATATGATGTGGGACACCTTGTAGCTAAAGCTATTTTCCCAAAGCCCCCCCCCCCCTCACCCCCCGAAATCTTGAAAATCCTTGGATTCTGTTGATTACCAAAATTTATGAAGATTTATTACTTATTTGATATCCGTCATGATGAAAGAGAATCTCTACCTAACCCAAACTTGACTCCATACAGCAAATAGAAAAAGAGAAAGAACTAAAACTCAAGCAATCCCTGTACAATATGATTTGATTTGATGAAGAGATATTACTTTCTTGGAATCTGTCATAAATCTCTTGCACCTTGTCAAGATCATCTTGTAAAGTAATACAAATATATTTAAATGCTTCACAAGAATTTACACAAAAATAAGGATTGTCTCTAAATATTGGAATTTACAATTTAAATTAATAACTAATTTTATTTGTTCTTAACATTTGTTTGAAAACCTAGGCAACCCTGGCTGCTTTCATTATATCTGCTCTCATCTTTAATCTTGAGTACCATGTTCTTATACCAATCTAGGCAACCCTGGCAGCTGTCATTATATCTGCTCTCATCTTTAATCTTGAGTACCATGTTCTTATACCAATGTGGAAAAGTAAAAGTAAGTTGCCTTTTTTAAACCAAAGTTTTTAAACAATTTGCAGGGTGAAAAATATTAGATTTTTTATTTTACAATTAAAAACTAAATTTCCCTTCAGATTTAAAGAATTGCCTTTTGAAGCTTCATTTTTTTGTTTCATTTTTTTCATGTCATTGCCAACACATATATACGTCAAAATGTTAAATATTCGTTAATTGTAAAACAAGAGTTCGAACTTTAACCTGGAGAAAGTTGAACTATCTACGTGAAATTAAACAAAATCAACTTGAACCAGGACAGGAGAAATAGTTCAACTAGCCAAACCTGGTTAAACTTTTCTCGCAAACAAAAAAATACTCACAATATGAACTGAAAAATTGTTCCTAAAATTTCAAGAATAAATGTCGTTTTTTTCTTCCTTGAAGACAATTTTAATGACACGAGTAATATTGATTTAGTTTATTTTAAAAATATTTATTTTGAAGAAAATTGCAACAAAAAAAGAGAAAAATAATTTTTGTTTGTTTTTTAAATGAAAGAATTTTATTATTGGTAAAAAAAAAAAAATTCAATTAATATGCGTATTTTTGAGTGATATCTTTAATTATAGGTAATTGTTTTTTAGAGATAGATTTGATGCCTGCCCTGACTTGTTTCTTCGTTTGTGTGCTCTATGATATAGAGATGGGTATACTTGCTGGAGTTGTTATTCAGGTTGTGCAGGGGTAGATGTTTTCTTCAAAATCATTTTTGGCCCTAATTTGGTGTTTTATTTTCTGATTTGGGGAAAATTGATAACTTTTCTTTTATAAAAGGTAAATAAAACTTTCCATACGGTGTCCAATTTTTTTCCTTTTTCAGAGCACTGAAAATCATTCTTGAAAATATACACCCCTGAGATAGTATTTATCGTTCAATCAACAGACTTTAAAAATTGAATCTTGCAACAAAAAAAGTTTTAACAAACAATAAAAATGTTAACTTTTTAAAGTTAATTAAAAGTTATTTCAATGAAGAAATGTGACAAGATTGGCAATAAAAATAAAACTTATTTTGAATTTTCTAAATCTATATTTTCTGAATGTTTAGTTGATCCTCCTTCTCTACCATACTGCTCGTCCTCGAATCCTTGTTCAGCTAAGAAAGGTAAAAAAGTTTTTTTTCTAGAATTCCTTCAGGAAATAATTTTTTATGTTTTAAGCAAAACTGGAAAAAAAAAATTTTATTTATTAGTTTACGATTGTTTTCTATTATTTTTATATTCCCACCTCGCTTAATTAAAATTCAGAAAGTATTGTTACTTTCAAATAGTCCATTTGCAATTGAAAAATCAATAAAGATAAAGACTTAAAATTCATCTATAATTTATCATAAACAATTTTTTACTTTTCTTTTAAATTTTACCTAGATTTGTTTTATGATTTTTTGCATTTACGTAAAATTAAATATATTCTTCTAAAAAAACTCAACCGCTCTTTTCCTCAATATGAAATGCCATCAATTTCCGTGAACAATTCCTTTCTGCTAAAATCTAATTATGCCCATCCCTAGGTTCCTGGTTCCGAGCTTGAGTATTTATATATTGCTCCCGAGCAAAGTATAATGTTCCCTGCTGTTACCTATGTTTGGAACCTGATCAATAAAGCATCGTTCCATAAGGTAAAGTATTATGTTCCCTGCTGTGACCTATGTTTGGAACCTGATCAATTAAGCATCGTTCCATAAGGTATAATGTTCCCTGCTGTGACCTGTGTTTGGAACCTGATCAATTAAGTTTGTTCTATAAGGTAAAGTTTAATGTTCCATTCTGTTTCCTATATTTGGAACCTCATCAATTAAACATTGTTTTTAGACCTTTCTAAAACCTTTTGATAAAACATTGTTCCAAAAAAATTCATAAGATGATTTGGTATGAATTACTTTTAGTTATTTATAAAAAAAAACTGAATTTATGAACAGAAAATTCTCAAAATAGTTCTTGGGGGGAAGGGGGAGGAAGGAGTACCGGAGTTTACTAGCTATGAACCAATGTATGTTTAAATAATTTTGAATATATGATTGTTTTTAGGCAAGCTCTGCTGTACCAGTAGTAATTGATTGCACTAAACTCAACCAGATTGATTATACAACAGCTGATGTATTCAAATCTATTCTCGAGGATTTTAGCTCTAGGAACCATTTCTCAAATGTTTAAGCAATCGAAAAAATTAGCTGTTTATTAAATTATAATAAATTATATGTTTTCATGAACATCTAAACAAAGAAATGAAGAAAAATATATATTTTTTTCTTAATTTTACTCCAATGTAGAAGAAGTAATTGTAAGTAATCCTCCATTTATGTAGTGGTCTTTCCGAATAACAACGGTACTTATTTAACTTGTATCAGAGTATCAATGAGGAAGATATAGTTGGGGTTTTCTAGTCTAAAGTGCTTTATTCTGACATTTTCCTTCATTGTTTCTGCAGCATAAATCCACAAGTTACACTTGTATTCGGTGGAAGGCAATTATATCATTACAATAAAGACTACTTTCGATTTAAATTTGTATTTATATCATGCTTTGTAACAGCATGGATCATAAACATAGAAGTCAAGAGAAGCTGTTAATTAAACAAGCCTCTCTTTCATAACTTTTTAACTTCAAAAAACTTGTTAACAATTTAAACTTAAATAAAAAAGTGGTCTTAATTGTATTGATATTATCGCCGACCACTGTAGAGAATCCACAAAATGAAAATAACTATTATTCAGGTAGAAGAACATTGATTTCTCATTCATCAACAGATTTGGTATCTTTGTGAATGGGGTGTGCCACTTCTACATTTTACAGTTATTTAATTAAAAAATCTTTATTTGATAAATGATGGATTCTGATTTTAAAGATTATATTAAAATCTCTTATTCCATTAGTTTGAATTTGTTTGTTTATTTATTTGAGTATATGTACTGCAGGCGTACAGATGTGTACTGGTTGAACCCCGTCCCTCATGTCGCCCACACTATTACTGTGCTAGCTAAAGACAGATTCAGGTTAATACAGGGTTACCCACAAAGAATGAGATTTTTGAGACGATTTTATTTTTTTTTGCATTTAGGGTTCCCCCTGTAGGCCAAAACTGGCCTATTTCTGTGCATAACCATTTAGTAAACCATCAAAATACTCATTTGAAGGCTCTGAACCAAAAATTAAGCTTCAAATAGTCAAATCTTTTTAGTTCTGGGTCGTCTTTACAGTATCATTCTTTGTGGGTAGTCCTGTAGTAAAGTGTTCACTCTCATATAAAGTCTTAATTGTTAATTATTGTCATTTATTGATTTAGCCTTTAAGGTGAATTCTTATGACTTTTATGTTTTAAGATTGTGTGAAAGGTTTTCATTTATAAGGAGATCCTTCTGGTTAAATAAAACTTTTCTTAAATATTCCTTGAAATCCGGTTTATTATTAAATTGGCCAATATTGTGAAACATATGTTTTTGTATATTTAGTTAATTTAACGTATTTTATTTTCAGACCGATATATGGAGACCTTAGCCTAACTCAATTAGTCCTCAAAGGAAATACGACAGCGTTTGAAGACGACAGTAACACATGTTTATTGAACACTACTCCGCAGCTGCTTAATGGAAATCCGCATTTTATCAATGGAAATCCGCAATTTATCAACGGAAATCCGCAAATTCTAATCCACTCTCCTATTCTTTTACAAAGTACTTGCAATAACCTGAATGAAGCCCTGGTTTTGGTTAATGATATTCCGCACTTATTTAATGTTGCAAATAATCAAAATGAAACCTTACTTGAGGTCAAAGAAACCAAGGATACCAAGGATACCATTGATACCAAGGATACCAAAGTTACCAAGGATACCAAAGTTATCAAGGATACCAAAGATACCAAGGATACAAAAGAAACCAAGGATACCAAAGTTACCAAGGATACCAAAGATATCATCACCATTGAAGCAACTGACCCAGTAGGTGCTTCTGGAGCTTCTGCTCATCTTGCTAATACCTCTAAGCAAACTTCTTTTAATTCTACCCAGAAGAAAGAAGATATAAACTCGAATATTGAAGATAGACATCAAGATTGAAAATGTTGCCCGCTGGCGAAAAATGCAGATTGTTCCGCAATATTTTGTTTTCTTTTAGGATGTCAGCAATGATTTCAAATGTAATCTGCAATTTGTAACATGGATTTTTTAGTTTGCATTAAGGTCATACAATTATAGACAAGGTCACATTCTTGAAAATTTTATAATTTTATATTAAATGCATATCATATAAATGAATACTTATTGAAAATTAAAATTGCTCAAAAAGCAGAAAAGAGGCTAGAAATTCGTTACTGAAAAAGGACAGCCAGACAACTGAAAATTGTGTACTTCCTTTAAAAACCTCTCAGCAGTCTACCTTTTCCTAAAAAAAGATGGCTTTCTAAATTTGTTGATGGTTTTTTTTCTGGGAGGGGGGCGGGGGGGGGGATTAAGGGAAAGTGACATTTATTTTCCCAAAGAAACTTATTTCTTTCAAATAGCTTTCGAGTGAAATCACATTTACAACTCTGTCTCTCTCACATTATGTAATGGGTTTTATGAGTTTTGATAGAGTAAGCTTAAATATATCTCTTAGAATAAGAAAATTTTGTGAATCTCGGGTCTTTTTTTGTTTGTTTTGTTTTTCTTTAAAATTATCAAGTAATATGTTACTAGAATTTTAACTTATGGTCAGAAACAGTGTTATTGTTCATAAAATAACAGGGTGAGTCAAAAAAAGGGTGTGATTTGCAGCTTCTGGTGCAAAATTGTACCTTATTTTGTGCAACTCTCCTGTATGGTTTTTTCAATATTTTAAATTTTTTTGGTACTCCAATGGCCAAAAATAAAATCCGCACACCTCTTTCTGTTAAAATCAAAAGTTCAGAAAAGCAAAAACGTGTACAAAAATTATTTCTATCGAAATCTAAAACGGTTTAAAGATTGAATAAAAGAATCACAGAAAATTCGCAAAATTTTAATAAGAAAAATCGCAATTTTTAGTTCTGGTCTGATTTTTAAGGAAAAGTTATTTAAAAAACATGAGAGTTTCACATAAAAAGGTAAATTTTTGCACTAGGTGCCGCAAATCGCACTTTTATTTGACACTACCTGTATTAGTTGTTGTAAACAATTAGATAAATTATATACAAATCCTGTGATTACCAAGAAAAAACACGCAATGTAAAATTCTTTTGATGTGAAAATATATGTGGGGCTTGTGAAAATTATCCTGGCTTGATACAGTATTAAAATCTTTTATTTATCCTGTAAACTTGGTAAACTTGTTCAGTTTTAGCTACTAGGTATTCGTGTATGCACAGTTGATCTCGAAACTATTCGCTTATGCAAATTTATCCACGGAACTATTCTTTATTGAAGATTTATTCACAAAACTTTTCGTTTTTATGCTGTGTTAAGTACTTTCCTAAGGGCAACTTTCCAAGTGACAATTTCCCAAGTGACAACGTCCCAAATGTGCAATTTCCCAAACGGCAACTTCCCAGATGACAATCTCCCAAGTGGCAACTTCCCCACCCTACACCCTTTCTTCAAAGGGTAAAATTGTATTAAACGATCCTTATTATTTTTTACGGCTAGGTTAAGCCTTCTGAGGCTAGGAAAGGCTAGGGGGCCGAGCGCTGCAGCTATTGCTTGTTTTAAAGAAAATATAGTACATTATTTAAGGTGTGGTTTGGCGTCTGAAGCGCCACTGGATACAATGGGGGGTCGAGCGCTGCGTCTAGGTTGGGCTAAGGGGCGAGCGCTGCGGTTATTACTTGCTTTAAAGAAAACATAGTAAATTAGTTAGGGACATTGTTTATACTTGGAAAAATATACATTTGGGAAGTTGCCGCTTTTCCTTCATGGGGAAGTTGCCACTTGGGAAATTGTCATTTGGGATCAGTTGCCGGTTGGGAAATTGCACATTTGGGAAGTTGCCACTTGGGAAAATACCTGTTACGCGAGCCATGCTCCGTGTATAAAGTCTAGTTGATGCCCCTGTGAGTTTCTGAGTTCTCCCTGCGGATCTGTACAGAACGTATTGTGAAAAACTAGTTTGGAAGCTGTTTACAGACGGACTACGCAGGCGCAAGATTTCTCGCGTGGGAGTGACTAGTTTTATATCAGTATATGTTTATTTGTGTTGCAAGTATTAACCGTGTACAGAATTCTAGGATCACTGTGGTAATTATTTCTTATATATATACGTATGATTATCGGTTGATTATAGTATGATTGATATTTATATATGTTTGTTGGTTCCTCGCCACAGTTTTTTAATGCCTGAGTGGATTATTTGTTGTATTCGTATGATTTATCACTCAAAGCTTTTTCTGTGGGTTTATTAAACTTATTTAGATTGAAGACTCAGAGAAATAAACGTTCGGAACCTTATTATCATCCTTTTGTTATGAAGAGCGTTGAGAGAAGGAAGTCTTGCGATCCGGTCTTGAAAAATACCACACGATATATATATTAGGTCTTTAGGGAAATCGCTAAGTAGCGAAACAATACCCTTGGGAAGTTGCCGCTAGGAAAAAGGCCTTTGGAAAATTTATCCACGGAACTATTTGTTTTTGAAGATTTTTTCACAAAACTATTCGTTTTTTTCTCAAAACGATTAGCTTTTGAAGGTTTATCATCACTAACTTTTCTTTGCGTCAGATTTATTCACAGAACTATTCGTTTTTGCACATTTGTATATAATGTTGATTTTTATAAAGAAACTGAGTTTTTCTTACAAACTCTACTTTTCTAATCTCAATATCTTTGCTACCCAATGTCGTAGACATAGATAAATAAATAAACATAGATAGCTTATGTAAGCAAAATCACCAAGAATTGTACAGTCCGCGAACTTAGGGGTCAAAGTGTACTTCAATGATAAGCAGGGTGGTTTGGTGTTTTAATGGATTTCATAATTATTAAACCACTCAGGAGTGAATTTTATTTTGAGAATATCAAATTATTTCACTGAGCAATATTTTATATTGACAAGAACTGGAGAAGGACTAAACTAATTTAAATTTCTTTTTACAGAACTCATGTACACCACAAGTACTAAATGACATAAGAACAGCCAATGTTCACAACCGACCTATAGTTAATTTATATAATAGGAATATCTTTGAAATATCTCTCTACATTTATATCTTTCAAGATGAAAAATGTCGTCTTATGCGCAATCTATCTTTATCTATGGTCGTAGACCTTAGATATTTCAAAATATGAATTCTGTTGGTCAAAATAATCTTAAGTTTTAAATATTTATATAATTTATTTATATAAAGGTTTACATCATCAGATTGTAAAGATATAGGGATTAGACAATTTGAGTTTGTGACAAAAACTCATTTCCTTTGTTTAAAAGTTGAAAAAAAATATATATTTCTTCATTCACGTGAGGAAACAGTTGGATGTAATAAATATAGGAGGGAATATTACATTGCCTTGGTTTCCCTCGATCTGGTTGGGTACCGTAGCATCCCTCGCTATGCTCGTGATGCTTTAGGACCCAATAAGGTCTTGTTAAAGTGCTATGCATGTAGTTAAACTGAGTATGCAGTATTGTAGACAAATTCTTCAAGATTCATTTGAGACATATTAAACGTTTCTACGAAGAAACTGATTTTAATCGCAAAGCTGACTTTCAAAATCATCTTTTTGCGTGGATATGTTTTAAGAATTGTTTTATTTTTTAATTATTAAATAACTGCGACGAAAAATAAAGTAACATTTATACAGTAAACAAATTAGATGTTTTCTCAAAAGAAATTTGTCAATAAATCAATGTTAGAATGAATTGTTTTTATTTTCATCATTATATTAAATTTCTTATTTTCTATTAATTTGTTCTACAAATTTTTTATATGTCGTCTTCTTAATAAAATTCCAGAAAATCTGCAGTCGTCGTTAATCAATAATTAAAAAAAACGATTTTCAAAACGTGTCCACCAAAAAAGATTATTTTGAAAATCGACTTTGCGATCAAACTTAGAAAATATACATTTTAGAATAGTTTTATTTGTCTCAAATGAATCCTAAAGAATTTGTCCACAATACTGCATACTCAGTTAACTACCATTACATAGCCGGTCACTCCCTTTAAGTCTTGGCAATGTAATATCCCCGCCCATATTATTTGCATCCCTACTGCCTCCCTGTAAGGAAGAGATCAATTCTTTAAGTTCTTAATTTTAAGGAATTCTTTTCTAGAATTTTTTTTTTTAAATTCGGTGTATTTCCAATGAAAACTAAATACTCCAGAGCTGGGAACTTTAGAATGGGATACCTTTAATCCCGATTGCTTAATCCGAATTTCCAATGTGGACACTTTTAATTTCTTGCTTAAAATCCACTCATTTTTGGATGTTGGAAAAAAATCAAAATCCGGTTTTTCAAAATTAGAGAGTTTTCTGTATAGCCAAAAGAAGCACAACATTTTAAATTTCCCGGTTTCTGATACATGACTCTGATTGGTTGAATTTTATACACTTTTTAGGATATAAATACAAGATTAGGTTAGTCTCGATATCAAGGAAAAGACAGGATCAAGCATGGATCTCGATATCCACCATTGTATAGTTCCCAGCTCTGATTGTTTTTTACATTTCTGGACATGTCTGGTTAACATTGTCCAATGCACTTTAAAGCCAAATGTCAATGTTGCAATAATAATATTTATCAATATTTATAATAACAGGAAACAATACAACTGATATTAATTTGAATGAACCCCGATATATCCGTGTAATGTTCAAATTTCAATCTAACCTGTAAAAGGGTATTCAATCTGCTAAAGGAATAACAAAGGAAATAGTTTATAGAATTAAAATGTTTTTAAATGTTTGATGCTCCGATTGTTAAAGATATATTTACTTTTTAAGCAGGCTGTCGACAAATTTTAAGTGACATTTTAAAAGCGTGACATGATTACCAACGGCCCACCCTTATCCCCTTTAATCTGAAATCCATATAGAAGATACATGGTGTCCCGATAAACATAGTAATTAAAGGACGACTTCTATATCGTCTTTGTTCCACGCGAGATTATTTAGCACCGAAAAAATAACAGTCTCGGGATTTCTAAAATGTGGTCTACCAATGGTTTAACTTTAAAATTGACAGAAATATTAGGAAATTTGTCCAGATTCCAATTGATTAAAAATCAACAAATCTTTAATATCTCCGTCATTAGAAGACCACATTTTGGAAAGTGAATTAGACTTTAAAATCTCTTTACAGGGGAATATTATTTCCAAAACCAACACTTGACCCATTTCTAACACTGAGTGTTAGAAATTGGCCAAATTTGAAAAGTTATCTTTTTCAAGAGTATATATCTTTAAATCTAGAAATAATTAAGTAGTTAATTTAGTCTTCATAAGATAATTTTTATTTTCAGTGATTTATTTTTGTAAGTTATGAAAGTGAGTTTTGTTTTGAATTGTGGATTATACTCAAAAATGTGAAAGTGGGTTTTGTCTCGAAAACGCGACAATGTTTCAAATGCAGGATATGTTCGAAAAATTGAAAACGGTCAAGAGAGACAATATAAAAAGAACTGTTATGAATTTGATTTAAATAGAAAGTTTAAAATTGGGAATTGTTGTCCTCGGGATGTTTACTAAAATGTTGGTTATAGTTTTTACTATCGACTTTTACTCTGGATATGGCACGGGATCCTAAAAACCCAGTTTTTCAATTTGTGCCCATTTCTAACTCTCAGTGTTAGAAATGGGTCAAGTGTTAGTGTTGGAACTAATGTCCCCTGACTAAATGTCATTTATCAATCATAGGAAATCAAAGATAATATTCATGTTGTCTCTCAATTCCCATGTATCGTAGCTTTTATGTCTTAAAAATATTTAAGAAAAGTGTCTGAATATTCTCTCTTTAATTGTTACCATTTTTAATCGGACGGCTATCTTACTGAAAGATCAATTAAAATTCCAATTACTGGAAAGAAAAAAATTAGGATTTGGGAAATAAAATGTTTCCCAATGTCTACAAGGTTTCTGTCTTGAAGGGAGTGTTCGCGAAAAATGAAAGGGGGTATAGGCTAACGGCTACTAATCTTAGTTCTATCTGTTGCGTCTATAAGGAGAAAAATGTCAAAAACGACTCATACTGGAGAATGTAGCGTCCATACAAATTCAAAAAGTTGCAACATTCAACTCGGATCGTTAAAATTCAATTTAATTCCAAACAATTCATTCAGATAAATTACATCCAATAATCATCGATAAATTTTCGACGCAATCGTATATAGCTGATATTTCATAAGATTTTCTATTTTTATGATCAGATATACTTTTAAAATCATTTATTCCTGTTTCTAGGATTTCATAAGCCTGCACCCTCTTTCATTTTTGGCGAACTGTCCCTTTAAAATGATAAATAATTTGTGAATATAAAAACAAGGTTACAGTTTCCGTGCATGGGAAACCATGAATCATGAATGCAAGAATAAAATTATTAAATTCGGTTCAGTCGTTTCTGAAGTATTATTGTTTCTGGCATAATAATGGTTCATATTATTTCATTGTAAATTTTTTATTTTAGCAATATATATATTGCTAAAATTGCAATATATACAATTTTTTTTAAATGATTCATTCTTTTTAGATTTTCTGAGTAGTCCCGGAAATCTCAATTTAATGCTAATACACGATCCAAATCCAGTATGATGTGGGACACCCTGTATACACGATCCAAATCCTGTATGATGTGGGACACCCTGTATACACGATCCAAATCCAGTATGATGTGGGACACCCTGTATACACGATCCAAATCCAGTATGATGTGGGACACCCTGTATACACGATCCAAATCCAGTATGATGTGGGACACCCTGTATATTCTGATATACCTTAATAAACCTAACATTTTGTACAGCGGAATCTTCAAGATTATTTTGTCATGTTCTCCTTCATAAACTCTGTATATTCCGTTAGCATCGAGAAATAATACCAGAACAGAATGATTGGGAACTTTTTTACTGCAGTGTTATGTTGACATTTTCCTGTTATAGGCCGGAGCACACGTAGAGACAATGATATTTGTTTTATATATCAGAGAAGTCGGGATATATCAATATATCAGTTCAACAGCACTATTCGACAGGGATGGATAGATGGGTAGGTTGGGATACTTTTTATTTTATAGATATCGATGAAAAATGTACAGTCGTCGGCCATTTATATCAACACGATGAAGTCAATTTTTCTATTTAAGTTTTGATTTCTATCAACCTTTTTTTCAAATTACATAGTTTACAAGTTACCAAAGTGAAGGGTGTTATTTCATAGGTTCTCTTTTTTTCCATGTTCTTTGAAAGCGTGGTGGAAATAAAAAATTGAAAATGAAAGTTATATTCATTGTTTTGACTGTATACGGGGTAACCCACTAAAGATAAGACTTTATAGTGACGAACTAAAACTCTGTGATTAGACCGCTCTGGGGGTTGAATTTAGTCCATAAACGATATATACTTAATGTTTTGGCAAAAAAAGGGAGCAGGTGAACATAAACTGAAGAGAAGACTGACTAAAAAAGTTCGCTGTCGGTCTTTTCTTTCCGACGTTTCTGTCGACGTGCAGTTTCCGACGTTTTTGTAAACTTAAGCCAATTTGATACCGTTCAGATGATTTCTCACAGTGATCCAAAGATTGCAAGCTCTTCTGCACAATTTTTTTTGAGAATTTTGCTAATTACTTCTCATGAACGAAAAGTGTAGATGTCTAAGCTACAAAAACGTATATAAATGGAGGTAAAATCAATGGCCTATCACGTGGATTTAACAGTTCTGTCAATATTTCAGAAAACTATGACTTTCGACCACAATTTGACCCCTTATACATAATTTTATAGCCTTTTCTCTTAGCTATTTTTTGTTGGCATATACGTTTTGAATAAAAAGGTATAAAATAAACAAATCCGTAAGTTTAAATACTGTTAAGTTAATTATGAAAACACGTTTGATTTTAAATAAAAGAAACCGAATGCTTCTCTCTCTGATTAGATGTGAACCTTTAAAAAGTCGACCTGCAGTTCAACTGCAGATTGTTCAAAAATATCTTGTCTATTTTTTAGTAAATTCATAGTTAAGTTACTTAAAGGAACTGTAAAGGAAAAATGAAAGGGGGTATAGGGTGAAACCTGAGAATCACAGGCGTTGAACGATACATATAATGACATCTTTCTGATGTTTCTGTCTCGATAAATTGATATAAAACTGTGTCACATTTATACGATAGTTCATATTTGTGCAATTTTCTATGAAAGTTGAAGTATAAAACGGATCATATTCCACAAATACGAAACCAATCTGAAAACGACGATATCCCACAGAAACTTGATAAACTCAGGCTTGCTCCTGTTATAATATCTCTAATTTTTATTTCGCATTTTTAATTGATATTATTGATAATATTATTACATATAGTCCGTATTACGTCAACATAACTTTAGTCAATGGCAGTGTAGTATAATGGTCATGTAATTTCTGTCAGTATCGCGTGACCAGTAAACTTAACTCTTATTGGTGGAAGTTCTTGTGACGTAATACGGACTTATCAATAATATTATCGGTTATATCTATTAAAAATGCAAAATAAAAATCAGAAAATTATAATGGGAGCAAACATGAGATTCTCAGGTTTCTGTGGGATATAATCGTTTTCAGATTTTATGCGTATTTGCTGTTTAGATTTTCGTATAATTTTGACACAGTTTTATGTCAATTTTTCGAGACAGGAACATCAGTATCGTTCAAAACCTGAGATTCTCAGGTTTTATCCTAACCCCTTTTCATTTCTCCTTTAAAGTCCCTTTAACGATATAAACTTGTTACGTTTCAATCAAATTTTTTTATCTAATTATTAAATTTAATATTTAATATATATTTTATACATTTAAAATATTTAATTTAAACAATAAAAGCAGGATATAAAGAAAAATGTCGTTATTAAAACATCTGATGATTGCCATTAGTTGAAGAAATATTAGCAAAACCAATGTTTGCATTCATACCAGAAACTGCAGTACAATTTTTTTTGCAAACACACATAATGGCCCAAGGGTTCATGATGTATTTTTCTTGAGATTCAAATCAACGAACATACTTTTCAGCAAGGAGATATTGAATAGAAGGAGGGGGTGATAGGGTTTCCTACACTTTGCTGTGACGTTTTTGGATTCCTGAAGAACTAGTTTTTGCACGTAACAAACATACTTTTCAGCAAGGAGATATTGAATAGAAGGAGGGGGTGATAGGGTTTCCTACACTTTGCTGTGACGTTTTTGGATTCCTGAAGAACTAGTTTTTGCACGTAACAACAATAACAAAGGCAGCCAATCCAATGATAAACAAACATGAGTTAGTAAACTGTGAAAGTAGTATTAAATCTTTTAAAAAAGATTGAAAAAGTTAAGGATTTTAGTTTTATACGAAAAGAAACTTATCACAGCGACATTTTCAATCAAATTCAAGGATATCCTGCCCCCCCCCCCCCACTTTATAAATACGCCAGAGATGCCAGGTGTCTGTTTATTATTTGTGTTATTGTTTACAATCTTTATTATTGTTGTTACGTGCGAAAACTAGTTCTCCAGCAGTCCAAAAACGTCACAGCAAAGTGTACGGAAACCCTATCGCCCCCTTCTTCTATTCAATATCTCCTTGGTTTTCAGAAACTCTTAATGTTTTTAAACATTTTCATCATTCGTAGAAAATATAACCCAGAGGGCATATTTTAATCTTAACCTTCCATAAAGAATAAGAATTTGATACAGTGTGTATTACGAAACATGGCCGCAAAATTCTCATCATAGTTCTAGCTAGACGACTTGACGGTCATCTTTGATATTTGAATTTATTTGTGACAAATTAAGGACCTATTTTAACATTTATGATTATCATCATAGTTCTAGCTAGACGACTTGACGGTCATCTTTGAAATTTGAATTTATTTGTGACAAATTAAGGACCTATTTTAACATTTATGATTCTTGAAACAATGAACGCAAAATCACCATAATCCTGGCATTTTGTGGTTTGCTTTTTTGTGCTTTTAATATTACCAATTTCATTCATGTTTTATTTTTATTAAATAAAACCAAAATTGTCGAAATCTTAAGGAAATTCGTCATATCTCAGGTGACATTAAAAGCCAAAAAAGGCAGACCACATTTTGGAAATGCCAAGACTAGGATTATTATTATTATTATTAATCCTAAAATTCTACTTCAAAAAATATGTGAATGCAAATATTGCAATTTATTTTAAAGATGAAAGACGACCTTCATAGTGACATAGTGTCATGTATCGTGGGATACCCTGTATATATAAATATAAAATGACTTTAATAATTTAGTAAACTGTTTTAGGGGATTCTGGTTTTCTTTTTCTTGATCCCAATAATCTTGGGAGACGGAGATCATGCTCATTCTCATGATCATCAATCCCAATCCCAACCCTCAACTCACCAATCATCATACGATTCTCCTTCCCCACATGCAGTTGTGACATCCTACGACGCCCCAACCTCCTATGCCACCCCTTCCTACGAGGCCCCATCCTACCACGCCCCCTCCTACCAAGCCCCCTCCTATAAGCCTGTGCCCAAGTGTCATACAAAATACGAGACTCATTATGAGGGAAGATTTTTGAAGAAAAATGTCAAATTTTGAGAAAAATTAATTACTATTAATTAGGTTTAGGTTTAACTAGGATGGACCCTGGTTTTTAAATACATCAAGGACCACATTTAGTGAAAAGCGAGACATGCTTGAACTGCGTAAACATAGTTCAACCACTTCTCTTCAAATTAAATCACTTAACCACTACTCTTCAGCTCGAAAAACATAGACCTAGTTCAACCCCTTCTTTTTAGCTTGAATTGCTTAGATGTCGCTCAGGCACTTCTTTTCATCTTGAACCGCTAAAACTTAGTTCAATTACTTCTCTTTTGCTGACGCGGTTCAACCACTTCTCTTTCCCTTAAAACGCTTAGACATAGTTCAACCATTTTTCTGCAGGTTGAACTGCTTATACTTGTTCAACCACTTTTCTTACGTTTAATTTAATTAAAATCTAATCTAGACCCAGTATGACACGAGATACAAGAAAAAATGTAAAACACACTACGAAAGGTAAAACAGGCTTTAAATTTTTCGAAAATATATTCGAACAGTGAGACTCATAAAACTGTATTATATGAAGACGATTGTCAGTGTCAAATTATGAATTTTAATAGTCCAGTGAACATGAGGCTGTTTGCTTTCAAGCAACTCAAAAAACACGTAAGATTCATTAAATGTCGTCTTTATATTCGGCAGTTGTATGGGTTGCATTGGAAGTTTACAACATTTTGAAGAAAATCAAAGAATTTTTTGTCATGATTGCTTAGAAATTATAAACCTTGAATTTAGGGCGTGTACAGGAACTTATTGAGTTTGAGGGAAGGGGGGGGGGGTTATAGTTGAATCCCCCATTCCCCTCTCACTACCCATCATAAGAGAAAAGGGTGGTCTAAGTCCATCTCGTCCCCACCACCCCCCTCCCCCGGCCGTATAGTCCAGTTATCTTATATTAGAACGTAATATTGATGTATATGGTAGCACTGAAAATGAGTACGTAGAACGAGGATGCTTGAAACGTAAAATTTTCAAAGTGAATGCATATTACACTTTTGTGCGTCCTCAATTGTGTCTTTTCGATAATGCGTCCACAAATGTGCATTCTCAATTACACTCTAAGTAATGTCACATTTTCAACTAACAAAGTTTGCTGAATCACCGAAGCGAAATTCATCTACGTCGCATCATTCGTCAAATTTTGTTAGATCAAATTTATCATTCATCAACATTTGACAAATGATGCTACTAAGTTAAATTATGCTCCGTTGCTCCTTCAAATTTTGTTAGATGAAAATGTGACATTACGTAGAGTGTAATTGAGAATGCACATTTCTGGACGCAAAAAACACAATTGAGGACGCACAAAAGTGTAATATGCATTCACAGAGCAGAGCGTCTCATATCATTCCGAATTATCTCCGATTTTTAATCTTAAAATAAACACAATGCTCTCTTTCTGGTTTGCAAATTTTTATACTTTTTCTCAAATACAATTCTGATCCTTAAAAAACCCTAACTTAGGGCTACGCACGTACAGAGAAATCCAATATTTTTTATTGCATATATAAATATTGAAGCTTTAAACATATGGATTCTTATTTGCAATATACACTGCTTATTATTTTGATTAAATCAATTTGCAAAATCTATCTTTTTCAACCTTTTAGGTTTTGCAGGTTATAATTGTGCACAAATCATAAAATACAGTTCCGGTTATGCTTACCGGAGATAAATTAACTTCCGCGTAAATTTAGAAACGAAGTCATGTTTGGCAATGTTGTTGCTTTTTTCCAAACAAATATAACGTGAGAAAGTGCAAATAATAATTTATGGTTTCCATAATTAAATTCGACTGTTTTGTACAGAAATTTAATAATTTGAAAAGTATATAACCTAACCCTAAAATAGTACAAAATAGATAATAATAATATTGGTGTAAAATAGGTTAGTTACTATATTGATAGGAGGGGGATGATGTATTAATTTGTTTACTTATACTGTATGCCATGTACTCTACTGTACCATATGTACTCAGAACTTTTATTTTGTTGGATACTTAACTGTCCTGAACTCTATTGATGTACTTTTCTGTACTGTACTGTACTGTACTGTACTGTACTGTACCATGTACTGAACTGTGTACTGAACTGTACTGTACTGTACTGTACTGTTCTGTTTCTAGGTATTGTGAGACAGCGTACCAAAATAAACAGGAGACAAGCTACTCTCAAGAATGCAAAACATCTTACAAGACTCACTGCACTAAATCTTACAGGTTTCATTTTTTATGGAATTTTTCATGTTTTTATATAAGATTGTGTCAAATTAGGAAAACATACACTCCCTTTTTTCATGTTATGTTATTATATTTATATTTCTGTAAAGGCGTTTTAGCACCAAAATATAGTAAATTGAAGGTTAAGACAAATATAAACTTTAAAATAAGGCGAATTATTTTAAGATTGTCAATTCAATAAAGACATTTTTCACTTAAGGACATAAGAGGATGGAGGGGGATAAACCCTATCCCTGCTAAGGTAGATGTCGAAATATGAGTAATGATACATCATTGATAAAGGTTTAAAAAAGTCAAGAAATCGATAAAATATACTATTACATATGAAAGAAAAATAGATCAAGGCAACTACTCATATTATTAATATTCAACGAGTCGGTTTTTCTTACAGTTTATTATTTACAAAGATACAAAACCTAAAAGGATGATACTA